GGTATATACGTAGGCGTTAACTTCATTTAGTGACAGCATGTTTTTAAAAAAATATCTCTCTTAAATAAAAAAAATTTCGAAAGGGATAAAATTACTGTCACGCCTACAATACTTATGGAAAAGAGGGGGAAATTCAATGCCTCTCATTATTCGCATCTTTTTTTGAAAAATTTCTTTTCAACATTACTTTTATTTTAATGATCATTGACAAAGTAATACACCATATGGTATGTTACAACCCCTTGGTGAATATATGTAAATGTCTGTATAAGTAAAACAAGGTACTAGGGAGATCATGTATATATTTCTATGAGTTATGTATAATTTTATTTAATTTACCTAATTAGCTAAAAACAAAATACACTATGTTAATCTATTTCTTTTTCAGAGTAAAGTGTCAACGATGATTCTTTTTTTTAAATCAAAAAGACTCGTTGCCATGCGTTTAACAGTTGTAAAAAGAAATTGATTGAACTTATAATATCATTTCAAGTCATCTCTTCTCTTTGAAATAATATAAAATCATTCAAGTGACAACAACAAGTATATCTCTGTCATATTACATTTGTAGACAACAAAAAAAAATGATAAATCGATAATTAACAGTACAATTTATCATTTACAGTCTACAATTAGTAATATTACATTTGTTTTATAATTTATCATTTGTAAATGAAATAATTCAGATTATTGTAAGTCATGATAGATGTATGAAACTGCTTACTTGTTCATAAAGAAATTAATGAGTATCTTCATTTGAAACATTATTCAAAGATTATCTCAATAGTTTAATAAACAAGCTAAAATCGATTCTTGTCGTCTTATAATAGTCTCTGATTCGTTTATTTTTGGGAATGTTAGATCCCTAGAACTCACTTGGTAAATGTTTTATTTTTGTAATTTTATATTAAAAATTCAAATTTCTTGTTTTCAAGCCATAAGTGCTCATTTTTATCTTCATGTCGTATTTCCAATTTGGGAGAATCTTAAACACTATTGGTTTGTTGTATCTTTTCGTATGCCATTTTGTAATGTTTCTCAAGAATATTTTTATGCTGTATATATACGCTTGATTTGTGCTTGTTATTGTAGCTCGTCCTTCTGTCTGCTTGTGAAATATATTTCCTTCTTCTGAACTTGGATTTGTCTTTCTATTTAGTGGGGTTGGAACGTGTCGGAATAACTACGTTATTGGTCATCATATCAAAGAGTCTTCGCTCCATTCCCAGATTAAATGAAATCATTATCTCTTCAAATATAACAGAATATATAGATCTTTCAAAAAACATTTGTGTCGATGGTTGAAAATTTGTTTCATTTTAGAAAGTTTTAAACTAGTGATTTCATCTGTCATAAGTCAGTTCATTACAGTATACCATAGTCAATCAACACTATAAAACATTCTGATAATATTCTATTGTCATTATACCAATGTTTTTTCCTTATAATCTACAGTTATAATAAGAAAGTGAACAAGTAAATACCTGAAGTGAACAAATAAAAAGAAGATCAAATTAAACATTCAAATTTTTTTCATGAATAATGATTATTTATGTAATTTAGAAGCACCTCATTTGTTGTTACTATTAATGTAATTCGAATAGATCAACTACACAAATGTAAGTTAAGCTTTAATACTTGATTATTTCACTTCATCTTTTCAAAGCCCCATGATTATGAAGATCGAAAATGCTATAAAAAATAAGAAATAAATTCAGCTTAACAGCTAGATTTAACTAGAATAGAATTAAATTTGTAATTAAAGTCATATATTTCATTTTTAATCAGCATTGAAAATATTTACAAACTTCTGAATAGTTGTATAAGAGTCGTTTATTTTAAACTTATTGCGGAGTACATTTACATAAACATTTATTCAAGAAGTAAGTCTATTATTTTCAACTCTGATGTTACAGCTGTCTAATTGTTATCGAAAGTCACAAGTAGGAAATATTATCAATTATTCGGTTAATTTATTTAAAACAGTTTACTGGTCATTTAAAATTTAGTGAAATAGTATAAATTATTAACCTAATGATATAGTTTCTGGGATTAGAATTGTAGATCTCAGGCTCGGTATATTGTATGATAAAGGTTGTTCATTGATGATAAATTTCAAATCGTTATTCTGTTTCTCAGGCATCTGAAGTGATTTTCAGAACACAAATTCACTATTTTAAACAAAGATGGATAGTGACTAGCAGCGAAGTCCAGAATGAGCGTTTCGTCCTATATGGGACTCGTCGGACGGGCGTACCCGGGACTCGAACCCAGTACTGTTCGTTTCAAACGCCAACGCGTTATCCAGTTAGCTACTGAGTCCTGATATATATCTTCTAATAATTCGCATTACTTAACCTTCAGGAAGTTATATACTATACTTTGATTTCTGGCAGTACTGAATTCACCTGTTTCCAAAAGAATAATATGAGACTTGTAGATGAGTATGAAACTCTTTACCTTAAGTACCCCATAGTTTTTACTAATCGAACGTTATGTGAACTTCAAATTTTACATCATTTGTAAATTATGAGAAACTTTGGAGTCAAGTATGTCCCACATCGTAATAAACTTGTGGCTACACTGAACCGTGATGAATAGTACTTTATCAACTCTAGAGAACAGTAAACATTACATAAGATACTGGAAATGAACGGCGAATCCATGAAAATTATTGATTAATCTTCATGTTACTGAATAATTTAAAAGAATACATGTGTCAGATGATAATGTATATAGAAATTTCAACAGACATTTCTACATTTGATGCGTTCATGAAGTTAGAAAATAATTCTAAAAGTATTTGTTTTAAATTTGGACAATTTTTGAAACCAAAATTTCCTGAGATAAACTTGACTTCATTTAAACATATGGTTTAAACAGCAAATCAAGTGTAATAAATTGGAACTACAACGTTTCGATTGTTAACTAGGGTCAAAATTTCTAAAAATTAACTAAATAATGGAAATGTTAGTTCGGTATGCACCATAAATGTATTCTTCATGATCGGTTAACGTCATCAGATAGACACACTTGGTTCTAATAAATTCTTACTTCTCAATTAATATATCCTTCCTGATGAATAATTAAGTTAGTACAGAACCCACTTGTATAGTATTACAGATTATAACCATAATGTATAAAACTCCGCATCAAGATTTCTTTTATGTGCTATGAATTGTGATCAGCCATTTGAAGTATAAGTCGTCCTAATTTTAAGAGTTCAAGATAATGAGCACTAATATTGGTCAATTCAGGTGCGAAAACTGTAAGATAAACGCCGATTCGGTAAACAGATTTTCAATGGTCAAATTAATACAATTGGAGGAATTCGAAATGATGATACTCCTGTTGAGGTTGAATTATGAGGACCAATATCAATTCTCCAAACAATGCATACGGTAATGATGTGACTGTGTTACGTCAGTGAGGAGTCTATGCAAGGTGAAAACTATTGATCTAAATTAGATTTTGTTAAATAATAATGTCAAGTCCTCAATGTTCATGGCTTTAGGAGTTGTGAGAGGTCACCTACTAGGACGAAATAGTTGTCCAGTGTCCTGTAGTTTCCAATGATACTCCAATTGAGACCAATCTATGACTAAAATGATCTCCTTCTACATTGTTTGTTAGATAAATGGTTATCAACCTACATACATACGAAATATAGAATAAATATTTCTACTCTTATGTAAACATGTATAATCGAGCTTTCGTGATCGTCTCATTACATTCCGTTAACAATTCCATAATGAACTGGATTGATTTACTTTCTATTTCAGTTTTGAGATTACCGATTACCTAACACAGATTTAATTAACAAAATATATACTTATTAATAATCCTTTCAGTAACCTTGTTTTATCAGAAGAAATGAACGCTGTGAAATAAAGATGAAATTCAGAAGAAAATCGAATATGATTTCTATAAATCATATCACATGCTTACAAAATAGATTAACGATCTGAAACTTATCATGAGCTAGATACTCCAGATACGTAGTGGTGTACCATCATCCGCAAAGTACTGTGATAGAAAACAAAGAGTAAAGATCCATAACTTTTACGCCCATTGAAATAAAATAAGAATATGAAATGATTGGGTATATCTATATTGCACTTCTATTCTCTAATTCGATCTGTGTTATCAGTTAGCATATATTGAGTGAAATTCAATTTGTTCCAATCTCCATAATTCTTTATTCTTAATTCAGTAAACGTTACATTCCCTTGTACATAGTATTATGCCACTTGTTGTTTGGAATATTAACAGTGAATAAATGATTATGAAAGATTTATTCGATACATATAAAATATCAATAGTTGAGATGATGAATCAGTTGTACCTGAATCACCATGGAAAATCTGGAAGCACTGGACGGTCATTTCGTCGCATTGTGAGACTCCTCAACAATGCGCATCCACGATCGCGTCTCACGAGATTCAAACTCACAAACTATCAGTCACGCACGCGAACGCTTAACCCCTAAACCATAGAGTCGGCATCAAATTGACTCATCACCTCAACTATGGAAATTACTACAATATCCAAAAAAATCCCTTCTGATACATATGTAGTTGTTCATTTTATGGGGTTTTTATTGATGTGTGGGAGATATTGAATTTATCGAGTACCGATTCAGTGTTCTAATGATAACACATTGGCTTCCACACCTCAAGATCCTACATTTCATTCCTGTTCGATTTATCATTGTTTACTGTTATTAAGTGTTATATGGTGATGACCATCCATGTCTCCTTAATTTTCAGTGATTGTGTAATTAAATTCAATCCGTCTTTTTGCATATTATGTTTAAACACAAACATAATATGAGTAATGTTGATTGGTTGTAAATAGTTGTTTGGATCAAACCCTATATGTAGATTTCGTGCTAGTATACAACTTGTAGTAGGACATACCTGTAAACTTGAGGGGTTGAAATCAGCTTACCCCAACTTTTTAGTAGAACATACTTGAACAAAAAATAAAATAAAAATGAATACAATCACTTATTTCCTATATTTTATTGAAAATTTGAAAAATATTTACAAATTTATTTATTTGATAAATCAATATTATCGATTTAATATTATCAAAATAATTAAATGGAAAAAAACAAATAACAATCAATAATACAATTGATTTTTAATAATTTCCGCTATCTTGACGCGCTTTTAATATCATTTGTCGAAATTTTTGCGCTGAATTATAACGATTATCATTAGGATATATTTGTTTTATATTACATAATTGATTTGAATCTGATTTATATAATACATTTTGATTGGTTAATTGAGATTTATTGATTGAATAAGATTTTTGTTTTAATTGTTTAAATGAATTTGATGTTAATGAATTTGAAATATCAGGTAAATGAATTTGTTCATCAAATTTTTGATTTGTATCATTTTGTAATTGTTTTGTCTCTCTATTAATAAAAAAATATAAAAAATAAATCATAAAGGAGTTTTTTGTGTGTAGATATTATAGTAACTTTTAATAGTTGAAATCATGAGTCAATTGAAGTTAGATTAACATGGAAAATCGAAAAGCACTGAACGGATCATGGATGCTTACTGTTGAAGAGTCCTACGATAGGACGAAACGATCGACTAATATATTATATGTATTGCATTATAGAATAGTAATTGTAATAGTTATTTATCATTAATTTTAATGATAATATTCAATTTACAATAACATTTACCCTATAGCATAATAGAAATTGTATGAGGAAAGAAAACACAACTACACCTATTAAATAATATGAAATCGGATTTGTAGAACAGTAAAAGATAGAAAAACAAATATGTAAAACAAAAAAAATGTGCATGCATACGCTAGTGGATAAGTGAATATTGAAATATTTTATCTATCATATGAATATCGTCTGAATATAAACGATACTCTTAAATAAGTTACACCTAGTTTTACAGAACGGCGAGACTATAATTTATGAACAAACCAATCAGGTCTAAGATAACAGGTCTTGGATTTTGGTGTAAAATTCACTCATTCATTTGACTAAATAGAGTTTTGGCATTTTATCTGACATCAGTTTGTGATGAAAACCCTAAACCTAATTCTTAACTTTAACCATCAACTGCAAATCATAATTCGAATTCTCCACACAGGTTTATAAACCTCATTTGCTCCCAGTTATCAGGTGGATACTCTCAATATCAGTTTAGCGTCGCTCAAAGGTCGTCCGTAAATTATAGTCTCGTTATCTTCTGCTGTCAGTTTTTCCACTTCCGAATGGCGTTACATATTACTTATGTCTGTTGACATAAATAGTGTACACCACAGAATCACTTATAAACATGGAATCATCAAACGTAGTATACATCTCAGAATTTACAATTAATATCTAACATTAATTAAATTAAATAAAACTAATTGTTACACTAGACCAGAACTCCAGGAAATACCTCTTGAAGCCAGACTGTGAGATAGTAACTCACTGAAGACAATGGTGGATCTGTCGCTCAATTTCGTGAATTGGTTGGAGTTAAACATTAACACAGTTAGATGCCGTCCATTTCAGTGGTCCTGAGGTTAAGCGTTCAGGCGCAAGAACAACGAGTCCTGGGCTCGAACCTCACGAGGCAGGATCGTGGATGAGCACCGCTGTGGAGACCCACAATAGGACAAAACGGCTGTTCAGTGCTTCCAGGTTTTTCATAGTGGTCTAGCTCCAATTAACTCATGATCTCAACTATTGAAATAAACAATCACATAAAATTAGTTTTATTGATCTAAATGTTACAAATGATTGTTCCTATTTATGCTGAATATTCTGTTTGATTTTATTAACTTACGAGGTGGATAATTTGTAGGTAGTTATTGATTTCCGTAGGACATTATTACTATTTGTAATAGCTTTATTTTCTAAAGACAACATTTGCATTTGTCTACAGTGATTCGAATTCTGATGAAGAGACAACGAATCATGAACTGATTTTCTCTTAGATTTACTGGATAAGGATGAAGAAGAGGAAGTGTCACTTGATGATCGATTTGACAATGAAACTGATGAACAAGGAACATTTGAATTGCTAAGTAACCCATTAATTAAATTTTGACTAAGGAGGAACTCTAAACCGCAAGACAGTTTCTGGTTAGTTACTGAATTGTTGTGAACTGTTTTTGGTTTGGATGATATTGAATCTACTTGAAGGGTTTGACTGATATTTTCCTGTTCATGATTTAACGTACTAAAGTTTTCCAAAAGAGAATTCTTAGTGGAATTAAGAAAAACAGAAAAGACAAAGCTTGAAATATTTAAACAAATGTCAGTTTCTGTTTGACAGAGTAATAAATTAAAAAACCCTGATAAATAGTCATTCAGAGTAAATATCTCAGTCTTACAAAAAATAAGTCGGTGACCGAATAACTCGACGGTAAAGTCTCAGAAAGTTAGAGTAAATTAAGCTGATTTCAACCCCTCAAGTTTACAGGTATGTCCTACTACAAGTTGTATACTAGCACGAAATCTACATATAGGGTTTGATCCAAACAACTATTTACAACCAATCAACATTACTCATATTATGTTTGTGTTTAAACATAATATGCAAAAAGACGGATTGAATTTAATTACACAATCACTGAAAATTAAGGAGACATGGATGGTCATCACCATATAACACTTAATAACAGTAAACAATGATAAATCGAACAGGAATGAAATGTAGGATCTTGAGGTGTGGAAGCCAATGTGTTATCATTAGAACACTGAATCGGTACTCGATAAATTCAATATCTCCCACGCATCAATAAAAAACCCATAAAATGAACAACTACATACGTATCAGAAGGGATTTTTTTGGATATTGTAGTAATTTCCATAGTTGAGGTGATGAGTAAATTTGATGCCGACTCTATGGTTTAGGGGTTAAGCGTTCGCATGCGTGACTGATAGTTCGTGAGTTTGAGTCTCGTGAGACGCGATCGTGGATGCGCATTGTTGAGGAGTCTCACAATGCGACGAAATGACCGTCCAGTGCTTCCACATTTTCCACGGTGATTCAGGTACAACTGATTCATCATCTCAACTGTTGATATTTTATATGTGTCGAATAGATCTTTCATAATCATTTATTCACTGTTAATATCCCAAACAACACGTGGCATAATACTATGTACAAGGGAATGTAACGTTTACTGAATTAAGAATAAAGAATTATGGAGATTGGAACAATTTGAATTTCACTCAGTATATGCTAAGTGATAACACAGATCGAATTAGAGAATAGAAGTGCAATATAGATATACCCAATCATTTCATATTCTTATTTTATTTCTATGAGCTTAAAAGTCATTGAATTTTCTGTAAAATACATATTCTTCATTTGCGATTCAATTCATTGCTTTTATTTGAAAGGTATCAATAAGTTTTGAATTGGAAATTTGTTACATGCCATATTGTCAATATATAATAATATTTTCCATTAAGACATTGAATAAATAATTCAAAGAATATTCTTTTTCGATTTGCTATTTATCATGTCCCTACAGTTATAAATAGGCAAATCTTATTATTTGAAGTAGTAACAATCGACTTGGTGTCCGAAATTATTGCTTAGTTACTTGCACCTGTTACCCCTTGTTGAGAAGCATAGCGTGTCAACCACGACTATCCAATCAACTCCGTAAATGGTTCTGTTTCCCAGTTCTTGTCAAGTGCAACTCATTCTTTTAATGTCTGCCTGCAGTTCTCAGAGCAACGTGTTCCTTGGTTTGCTTCTTCTCCTTTTCCCTTAGGGATTTCGAGTTAGGGTTTGCCTCGTGAAACAGTTTGATGGTTTTCGTAATGTATGTCCTATCCATCTCCGGCATCTTTGCTTAATTTTCTCTTCAGTTGGAAGCCGATTCGATCGCTCTCATAGTAAGCTGTTGCATTGAGTAGATAATTGTTTATAAATACTTGTACCTTTTATAATGGTTGTAGTAGTTATAGTGGCTCGATATCTGACTCCAACTATATCGTACGAATGATCGTAATTGAATGATTGTTGTCTAAATGCGCATGTTTCCAATCCCCGTATATAATCATTTACTGAAATCGCGTTACTGAATAACGGAATTAAATATGTTAAGTACAGCAATGAGTTTCGAATACGTACATTTCATATAACTGTTGATCCAGATAGACGATCAGAGAAATGAAGTGAAGAAAGCGAAGAGGAAAGAACGAAGCAAAACGGGTCGGAGGAGGCATATGAGCCAACTCGATTTTACCAACCGCGAATCGATATTTATAGTCAAACAAAAATAAGTTACAGACACAATGAATATGGTAAGTAGCTAGCACACATACGATCATATAAAAAACAGTTCAGACTAATAAGTGACAGAGTGAAATGTGGCTTAGGCAAAATGAATACATTCATCTGTCCAGAGGCTAAAATAGCCTATCTGGGCTGGACATGGTACCAGCCCCCACAAGTTCTTGGAGTTTTGGCTCCGTAAAATAAAACTATCTTGACGTCCTGGTTTTGATATTGGTTGACAGTTGTTTATAATTCCATGTGTTCTTCACCCGTAGGAATGTTGCCCTTGCTTCGTCAATCCTCTAATTTACGTTTGCATCAGATTCTCCTTGATTATCGATGATGCCACCCAGGCACGTCAAACTTTCCACTTTTCCAGACCTCGTCCATAAAGTGTGATTGGGTTGGTTCTGACTATATTGCACTTCAGGATCTTGCTTTTTTGCCTTTGTATGTTGACGCCTACTGATGTAACGTCTTCTGCTACACTAGTTGTTTTGACCTTCATTTGCTGATGTGTATGAAATAGAAGACCTATGTCATCTGCAGAGTCCAAATCATCTAGTTGCATCCAATCTGCTCATTGTATTCCGTAATTCAGTCAACCACTAAAAGAGAGAAATAGTGAGAGTGAGCACTTCTGTCTGACTCCGGTACTCATTTGGAATGCATCTATAAACTGCCCTCAATGCACGACTTTGCAGTTTAGTCCGTCGTATGAATTGCGAATGATGTTGGCGATCTTCTCAGCTACTCACAAAACTGTTGAAGAAAGTTCCATAAGGTTCTATCCACTCTGTCAAACACTTTCTCATAGTCAAGGAAGCTGATGTATAGTGACAAATTCCATTGGTTGACTGCTCAAAAATGATCCATTGTGTCGCAATTCGTTCTGTGCATTATTGATCATAACGGAATCTGTCCTGTTGATCCTGAGGCTTAGTATCTACGGAACCTTTTATCCGGCTCAGCAACACTCTGTTGAAAACCTTTCCTGGTACCGAAAGTAGTGTGATTCCTCCGTAGTCCTCACACTTACTCAGATCTCCTTTTTTGATATCTTGGTTAGGTATCCTTCTTTCCGGTCTATCGGTGGCACATGTTCTTCCTCCCAAATCTTCCCGAATAGAACGTGGAGCATGTTTGTGGTTACTTCTATGTGCGACTTTAATGCTTGAGCCGGTATGTTTTCAAGTGCTGCGGCTTTCCCACTGTCGGTATGCTTGGTGGCCATCCTGGTTTCTTCGATCGTTTGTAGAGTGACATCTATAGGAAGGTCTGTGTGTGCTGCTTCGATATTGTGTGGGTTCAGCGTGGCTGGTCTATTCAAGAGTTCTTTAAAGTGTTATACCCAACTGTTCCTCCGTTCTTGAATCTTAGTGATTCTCTTGCCTTCTTTATCCTTGATTTGTCTCCCTGGTTTACTACATTTCCCTGATAGTTTATTCGTTGTGTCATACAGTTATTTCATATTTCATTCTCTTGTAGTTCTTTCCGCTGTCATTGCTAGCTCTTCCCCGTATTTCTGCTTATCGGCTCCAATGCTCCTCTTCACTTGCTTGTTTGATTCTGTGTATTCGGTCTGTGCATTGACTTTCTCTGTTCTTGTTCGGCTGTTGTTAACTGCTGTCTTCTTGTTCTTCCTCTATTGAATGCCGTTCGGGGTTTCGATAGGGATCCATTCCTTATGATGATGCTTCTTGCGTCCCGGAACCCCATGGCACGTTCAAGTTGGTGCTTCTTCAGTCCACTTCCAGTTATTTTTCATAATGGTTTCCTCTTTTTCGAGTAGATCTTGTAATGCTTGGGACCTGTTGTTGAGAGCTATGTTGAATTCGTTGGGTTTGTCAGTATCTCGAAGGAAGACTATTAAACCTTTTTAATGCTGTTTCTCCAGTTGTGCAGTGCTTCTTTATCCTTAGTTTCATCTTGGCCATAACCAGGCGGTGATCTGAAGCTATGTTAACTGCTCTCTTTGTTCCACGGAGATCCATATAAACCCTTTTCTAAACTTACGCCAATCTAATAAAAGTTCAAGTTTTTGAAATATTCCTATCTTCTACGAATAAATTACTACGTAGCGATATTTGTCACACACTTTAGTTTTTAATACTGATCAAACTGTAGAAATAATGTTCTCATTGGGGCCTTCTGGCTTAAAATAAACTTAAGAAATGTTGTTCAATCGGGACTAAAAGCTAGATAAGTGAGAAATGATTATGACCAAACGACCGAATAATGTAACTTATACACTCTTATGCAAAGTCAGTCACTGCTGAAGTAGCTCAATTATGATCTCTAGGACTCTAGAACTGAGTAATGCAGTCTTAAATACGTTCAGAAACAAGTTCTTGGAATCCCTGTTGACCTTTTGTAGATTCTTCTTGGCTGTTTACAACCTAGAAACAATAGTGCTATTGATCAAAAACTCAAGAAGTCTTGGATAAAACTGACTCTGATGTATAAAGATAGAGTAGTAACAGACAATAATTATGGAGGAATTAAAAAGTGCCTAAACGTTTCCTTATCTCTAGATTAAATACATGAATATTCTAAGGTAGAAAACCAGGAAGAGCACAGTTATCCTAATCGATAAAATATAATGAACTAATTCTTTTGGCTTAAAAGATATACAGTCATATTCTTACTTTTCAGAAAATGCAAACAGAAATTGAACATACCTGAATATTTTGTAAGTAAGTTTTCAAATGTGAGATTTCTGCAAGTATAGCATTTCTAAAATAAAATAAATGAAATATTTTACAACCGAACATACAAAAAGTTTCTGATTGAGATCATGAACTGATTGATGTTAGAACACCGTTGAAAACCTGGAAGCACTGGACAACCGTTTCGGCCTATTGTGGGACTCCTCAGCAGTACGCATCCACCGTCCCACTCGTTGGATTCGAACCCAGGGCTTTCAGTCTCGCGCACAAACGTTTAACCTCTGGACCACTGAGTCGACATCCAATGGTGTTAATATCTAATCTCAATCCATCTTCCATTGTACTGAGGTAGATACCTGTCTCCACTGGTCACGGCTCCCCACTAGAACTTCCTCACGAAGCTAGTCACTAGTGAGCAGATGGTAATTATCAATCGGTTCATGATCTCAGTCAAAAACCTAATAATCTCCACAACCCTATGCTGATAATATAAAATTTTATCAAAAATAAGTACAAAATGGGCTATGTTCAATTTTCTGTATTTCATTTTTGTAAGTGTTTAGCCGTTGATCCTTTGTTTCATTTCATTATCATAAATTATTGCAGTAGGATTTAGAGATTAAGTTGACTGCTTAACGCTCCAAGCTTACCCTCCTCAATATAAAAGTGAGAGATAACAAATAAGTTAATATTACCAGTCTGTTGTGTCCCGATAAGAATAATGAGTGGTAATTTTTTTGGATCTATTTATGGACCAATACTGTGAGTATATTTTTGTCGTATAATTGTTAATTAACTAAACCATTCGTATTCACGTCTATCTTATCATAATAAACGGAATACACCCATTATGACATTAAATAAGAAAGAAAGATTAGTTCAGCGAAGAGTTCTCTTTTCGGCGAATTCATTTTCAAAGTTGTACAATCGCAAATATATATACTTATTTTTATAGGGTGATAATAATACTGATAGTAAACTTCTGTTATATATGGTGACAGTGAGGTTAAATAAACAAAGATATTAAAATATTTTTTAAACAAGGAAAGTTTAATAATCGTTTGATAGTTAATGGCTGAAGTATTTATTGGGTAAGGATGGCTCAGCATGATAAAATAAAATGTTGAAACAGAGATGAAATGTGATCGGAATGATCATGGAAATAAAAACAAACCGGTTGGGGGTAGAAGATTTGAAGGGAAGATGGAAGGTGAAGCAGGTGGCTGTAAGGGAACAAGAGTATGAAGAAATAGAAAAAAAAATTTAATACATTAAGACCATGGTAGTAGAACAGGTTGTACCAGTCTCTTTTGTACACACAATTCTGGTTTTTTTAATGTATGGCTATTGCCTCGGCAATGCAAAGAAGATGCAGTCTAATTGTCTTAGGAAGACTTCTACTTACCTTGTTGATGACTTTGAACGCAGAGTCTGTCTTGATTGAGTGACCTATGTTCACTTCTTATTGAACCGTTTCCTCCTCCTTTTAGCCATGCCGGACAATGTTCTTGAATTATTTTGGATAAAATACGCATCGAACGACCTATATACCTAGCTCCACAAGAGCAGGTAAATTGGTAAATGCACATTGAGTTGGTCAGATGCGGTAATTTATCTTTCAGATTATTGGTGAACAGTGATCGGCTGGAGAATAATATTCGCAATGTTGCTGAGAAGAATGTTCTTTTAAAGAATCCGAAATTCTCCTCTTTAAGATATATGCGGCTCTATCACCTTTGAAATCGATCTTCATGTATAAAATTTTCTTTTCTACTGTAATCGTTTGTGGTTTTGGCCTTTTTGGCTTCATGTTCTTATCAATGAATATAGAAGGATATCCGTTTTTGATAAGTATTTCTTTTAAAAGGCTCAACTCTTTCTCTACGACCTCGGGGCTACAGATTCTTCGTATTCTTGCTTTTATCTCCACGGTCATTCCGATCACATTTCATCTCTGTTTCAACATTTTATTTTATCATGCTGAGCCATCCTTACCCAATAAATACTTCAGCCATTAACTATCAAACGATTATTAAACTTTCCTTGTTTAAAAAATATTTTAATATCTTTGTTTATTTAACCTCACTGTCACCATATATAACAGAAGTTTACTATCAGTATTATTATCACCCTATAAAAATAAGTATATATATTTGCGATTGTACAACTTTGAAAATGAATTCGCCGAAAAGAGAACTCTTCGCTGAACTAATCTTTCTTTCTTATTTAATATCTTGTCATAAGCTTTATTTTGACCTACGAACTGTTATTATACGATTTTCCATTCTTGAATTATTCCCTGTCTATTAATCACTACCTCCCACATTCACAGCCACATTTGGCCAAATCTTGTACACTTGTTATTTTCTATTTTATGGTACGATGTAGTCTGCTTGATTGGTGTATAAACAGAGCATATTTGAAATACATGATTCATACCGCAGAGGGTGAGACTTGTGTTCTGGACTTAACTGGCTGGGCTAGGCAGGAAGCAGGGTCAATCAGAATTCTAAGCTGCTCTCAGGTGTTTTACGCGTCATTGGTCCGAACGATAAATCACTGCTCTCTAATAGGCGGTCACAAGTTATAACAAATGGCGACGGGGTAAAAAGAAATACGATCCAAAGTCAGCCTGTAATTGGACGAAATTCAGTCTAATTATTTCGAGCAGTCAGCATCCAGATTTGTCATCAGTGTCCTTGAACGACATTGGTCATTATTTATATAGTAATTTTCATTGTTGGTGCTGATTAAAAAAAAAGACTCTCCCGATTGATTACAACTGCTATTTGAGCGACAGTTAAAGTTCTGAGTCAAATTACACTCGCAGCTGCTGAATTATCCACGCTTTGGAGATGCAACAGAAGTGGATGGATTGATTTCTCAATCGCACACAGCTGGAAAATGATTTCAGCCTCCATGAATCCTCGATAAACTGTACATCAAGCGAAACAGCAGTCATCCAAGATCTACCCTCCATTCAAAAAACATACACGGCAATGGATTCAAACTCCATTATCCCCGAAACAGCATGTACAGACAGTGACGTATACAGCTCACAAAAAGACTTAGTACTTCAACATAGGTGTAAATGGTTTGCTTAGCTTTCACCAGATTACGCAACCAGTAATGCGACATTACTATCCAGATGAGCATGATGAACGGTAGTTTTTCTTGTGTCACTTTACAGCTGTATAACACGATCACTGAAAGACGATAATGTAAAGCAATCACACGTAATGAACCATAATCATAGTCAAAATTCCACTCAGTTATCAGATTTTCTATTCAAGACCCACAATAAAGAAACCCAGCCAATAAGTTTATGAACCACCACCAAGCAAGATGAATATATAGAGAATTATATACTGCCTATGACAAATAGCATACTAGCTAGTTTCGAAGTAAGTCGGAGAAAGAATACAACATATAATCGCAGAATATCCTTGGGTTTCTCTACAAATTTTATACAAGATTGTTAAATTTCTAATTGTATTCCTCGAGATAGCTATTTTCTACAGCTGGAAAACTAATAAATTATGAATAAAAATCAAAACTTCCCCGTAACCTTATAATTATAGGGTTTTGACTTTTATTTTTTTTAACATACTACCCCTGCTTCTTTACTTTATATACTTATTTATTAATGTTAATGTTTACAATAAAATAACAGCTATTAAACACATCTGTTTTACATTTGTAATAAGAGAATCTATATGAATATATTATTTATAAACAATGTATTGCATAAAAAGGTACTAAGCTGATATGAGTAAATTATGTACTTTTCTGAAACTTTTAGTGTTACATCTAATAAAGGTCAGAGTTTAACAATTACATCGAGGATTGAATAACCGATTAGTTGTAGGGAAACTACAAAACGAGATAAATACTTTCAAATGCTAAAATATAACACATACTGAAACATTTGGAAAAATTCTACCGTATTGATAAAGGATAGTAATAATAATAATAATAATAATAATAATAATAATAATAATAATAATAATAATAATAATAAAGTGATTACTCGAAATTTGACTTCAGTTAATTAGTTACCTTATTTTTTGAGTGTAATATTCAAGTTCAGATTCTTCTAAAATCCAGGAAAAATTTTCAAAAGAAAGCTATACGTAATTAATAACTTCATATTGTAACAAATATGTATATCATTTGACAACAAGTGTCGTTTAGATAATAACATAGCGGCCAAAACTTTATTGCTTGGCTAAAATAAGCGAAATGTTGTTAAACACATCATAGTGCTTCGTTTAATTACCACACTTAAACTTAGTAACACGTTTTGAATTACATAAGCATCAATTTCCGTATCACTGAAAGTGTTGAGTTTGTATTCACGAGTCATAACTCAGTAATTAATATATATAATTCAAGTCATCACTGATGCTAGAGAGAATTTTGCTATTTAATTCAAAAAGTTATTTATTATTCATTTTATTTGCTAGGTGTATCATCCGTTTCAATGTGTAAATCTTCAAGTGAATATTATGCGAGTTATTTTCATGTATGACTGGAACTAAAACTCACAAGTTTTTACATTGTAAATGTGATACAAAACTTTTTTTTATCATAATAAGTGAAATTCTAAACGTTTTTTTTACGATAATTGTGTTTCATGGTACCAAATTGTTCATCTATTTCTGTTCAAATTGTTTCATCATTGTGTGTTATATTATCTTACCAAATCTGTTGTTATTAATCAAAACATTGCCCGTAGTAAATTGATTTTAATGATGGTAGAATCACTAAATGTAATGTTAGAGAAAACTAAAACCAGAAAACTCATTTATAAATAGTACCATGGAAACTACACTTTTCTAAAAAGCTATAATGACAGCTGATAAATTGACTGTCTTGCAAAGTCAGTGATTAATCACCGGAATAAAAAAGGTGCATAAAATATTTTCAGTATGGAGATTTCTGGAGATTGTAGTATTTTCACGGTTTAATTCACAAGTCGATTTAAACCAGACCAACATTGAAAACGCAGTAGCACTGGACGGCCGTTTCGTCCTAGTATGGAGCTCCTCAACAGTGGAGATCCGCAATCCAGTTTTTGGGGCTCGAACCTGAGACTTTCGGTCCAACGCGCAAACTCCTGGCCTCTGGACCATCAAGCCGGTGTCCAACGGCATTAATGTCCAACTCCAACTGTTCCGTGATCTTGCGCATCGCTGAGGAGCCTCATATTAAGATGAAACAGCCGTCCAATGATTTAAGGTTTTCAATGGTGTTCTAGCTTGGGTCATCTCGTGAATTCAATTATAAAATAGTTCTTAAAAGTAAGAATCTCCATAACATTCGCGACGTTATAAATATGGTAGTTGAAGTTATTTAATTGTAGTCTTTTAAAGGAATTCCCAGAGAGCTCACCTTTCAAACCATCAAATGTTTGATCAGGATTATTGTGCTTCGATCTACTCCATTATCTTTGAGCAAACGGAATTCAACTTACTTTTCGATGGAATTTAAATAAAGGAAAGTGAAATATTCCACGTCAGTTGAGCAATTTGAAGAATCTAGAGAGGTTGGTAGAAAAGAATCGTTATTGTTGGCTAGTTCTAAAACAGAAATAATCTGTCAGCTAGCTTATCAAAATATGATAGCTTACTTCAGATTTTAATTCCAATGTCTGATCAATAAGATCTTCCCCAATGATACAACGGGCTTCATAAAAGTGCACTGGTGGCAAACAGCTCATTATCTGCTCCCATATTAAGCGAGAAAGACAGCTTAATGCCATTACGGTACAAGTTTATTGTTCAACAATATCACAAGTTTAAGATCCTTGGTAGTTTAGGATGTGAGAACAATATTTGCAAATTCTATAATCGATCCGAATTCCGATATGTGAACTGAGATAAATAACATAGTTGCATTCCAAGAATAAAATCAATTGTTGTCTTTCTATCATAAACTGAACTATTTAACAATTTCAAAGCCAGAAATCAAAAGTAATCTGAAGGAATCTTGATATTATCACTAATATATATCCCTATAAAAAGAACACAACGCAGTTACTAACCTGAGTTCTACCTGATCATTAAAATACATTTTTCGAAAAGAAAACAAAGGGTGAAAATATCAAAACAAAACGCGGTGCATTTAGAAGTTTTAACACCTGAATTCTGTAAACTCCACAAAGTTAAAATAATTCTTATAGAGATCAAGATTAATATGTTTAGGATCATTTCATGAGACAGGAAATAAATATATAAAGACGGCCAATCCAGACAATAGAAAGGTGAAGAATGACAATCAGTACATAAAAACACTAGGTCATGGAATCTACGAACGAAATATAACACATTTTGTTCCTCAAAGCTAGTAACAAACTTTGAAAATTTTGATTGACTTTAGAGTTACATAGCTTAGAATTGTAATATTCATACAATGAAGAAATCATCACATCGAAAATCCGGTGAAAACTCCAAAGCATCACAAAATGTCAAAGTGTTACGAAAGCTCGTAAACCCGAATTAAAATATAAAATGTATAAATTAATCTTGAGAGACTAGTCTTTTCAAACTGTGATAAAAACTGAGATAGCACTTAAAAACCTGTTTATCTATCATAAAGATGTGCGACAAAACATAATTTCTGAAGAAAGAGACTGTCTTATTTAATATTTAGGGTTTTATGCTGTCGTTCTAATTTTGATGGCCTAATATGAAAGTAAATACGACATACAGTATGTGATATTCAAAACATTTGTCCCTATGTTTCAGAGACTGTTGTAAATTGGCTAGAAACTGTTATATAAACACCTGGTAGAGCAACGTTTGCAAACACATTGAAGATCAAAAATTTCTTCTGATGAGATGACTCGAGCCTTATATAGAAGAGGTGGATGACGGTCGGCAGCGTAATGTGAAACCTCTACGCTAGTATTTACAACAGGAGAAGCATCTTGTAATAAGTTAAAACTGGGTCTGACGTGCATACGTGATCGAGTATCTTCAGCTGGCCAGTGTTTTGTAACACTAAAACGGTCAGCATCAATGTTGAGTGCTTACAAAACAATTCATTCTTTGGAGTTATTTACCAATACGGCTTTTTTTCCCTGTCATTACTCATAGAAAAAAAGGTTTTATAAAATAGGTTCGAAAAATCATAAAACTTGCTGGCAAAAGTTTTGGCGCCGTTTAAGACGGTCTCTACATCAAAAATCAAGTGAAACCAAATTGTTTAGATCACCGTCAGTAAATATATCAAGTTAAAATGACCTAGAAAATCCGCTGGTTCTGAAATCTAGATTATCAAAAAGTACCAGGTTGCTTCAGAATTCCTAGATTTGCAAAACGAGGGATCCATACAAAACATAGATTCAACTGTTTAGTTAAAACTAATTATGCTTAACAAGAAGTAGACACATTTCGACTTCGTTCACTGCATATTCTACTCGAAATCAAATAAACGTAAAGGAGTACTTTAACTACAAACGTAAAATTTACTGAATTTTTAGCCATAATAATATATAAACACAGTTTAACGAGATCATTGAATTTTGTTAAAAGCGACCAATGGAAAAAATAAGGAACTAACCAACAAACTTGACGTGAAAATAGAATATTATTGTTCAAGTGGTGGAATTGCTTAAGGATGTCTGAAATTAACAACATTACTCGAAATAATAAATTTACAACAAGTAAACCAAACACAGTTAACCAGTTGAGGCGTTCAAAAGCTAAAATCTGTGTAACGAAAACCACCATATCAATATGTTGATCAACAGAATTCTGTATCTGTGTATAGTTGTAAACCTTTAATAATTTTTCTCACAGTAAACCGCGCGCTATTTAAAAAGGACAGTGGTATTTTTCCTCGCTGAGTAAATTTCATGGTTTTGATAGTTTATTACGTATCAAGACTACTGTTTTCACTTCAATTGAATTTATTTCAGTTAAAGTATTCGACTACAGTATCGTTTTTACTGTTCTCTCAATTAGTTTTGTCATTGGTACTCTTGAGTACCTCTTTTCCAACTGTATCTGTTAGTACTTTTGGTCCTAGCAATCTACAGCTCTTCACTTTTTTGGTCATTGATAATTTTTTTGTTTCTGGGTATCATCGCATATTGAAAAAAACCCTCCTAAATGACCGGACAGTGTAAAAAAAGCAGTTGCCAACGTCCGGGTTGTCGTTATCCTGTTGAAAGCGGCATGCAGTGCGATGAGTGCAAAGGCTGGTACCACGAAGTTTGCACGAACTTAACGCCTGCTGCTTTCAAACGGTTCAGTAAGAAGGGTTGTGTATGGCTTTGTCAACAGTGCTGCTCGGATGCAAACAGCTTGTTAACCGAGGCCATCTCACTGGTTGATGCTGCAAAGAAGTGTTTTAACAAGCATAGTCGGAACTCGTCAAACAGCACTCGATCTGTTGACACGCAAATCAGCGTGAAGGAAACTAAGGTTAGTCCGATGATAGATGACTCACGCCCGTCAAAGAAGGAAAAGCAGTCTCCAATGGGGCCTGCCTTAACCAAAAGCTCAAGAAAAGTAGGGTCTTCTGTTCCCCGTCTCCCAGATGGGATCCAACAGGAAACACCTAGAAGCCGCAATCGCAAGGCTCGATCGGTTTCAAGCGGTAACCATAACCCGACCTCTCAGGTCGTCGACAACCCCCCAAAATCCAACACTAGGTTTGATGCAACTGTTATTGCTTCTACCAGCACCGTTGACGAATTGGTATAGGTTGTAAGGAAGAAAAGTAGGGATATAAAAGGGAACCCTGCCCCCGTAAAAGTAGTTGAAAAATCGAAAGCTAATCATAGCGACAGATCAGCTATTTTTCATAGAATCAAGGAAAGCGAGAGCCCTGAACCTAAAGCTCGCTTTGAGCATGACATTTTACTGATTAGGAGGCTGCTTAATCAACTCATGCCTCAAAATATGATAGGGGTCACCTTGCTAAAGGTGTACAGACTAGGGAGTCTAGCGGACTCGAAACCAAATCATTCCAGACCGCTTAAAGTAGTATTCGGCTCTTCGAACGAACGTGACCTGATTTTGCAAAATGGACACAAATTAAAGGGTTCAGGAGTCTTTATCCGAAAGGACCTACCGTTAGCAGACCGTGTTAAAAGACGGGAAGCCAAGAAAGAACTACAACTAAGGTTAGACGCTGACGAAAAGGATCTGAAAATTGCAAACTTTCGGGTTGTAAGACTTCGACAGAGAATGATGCCGAAGCCACTCTGGGTGAAGCACGAAGGCACTTAAACAGGCTTTGGATCTGTTACACTAATGCACGAAGCTTACTTAATAAGCGATCGAAACTAGGTGTGCAGATTGACTCTACAAAGCCAGACATAATCGCAGTAACAGAAACCTGGCTGACACAGGCTATAGACAGTATGGAACTTGATTTCGAGGGTTTTACGTTAGTAAGGGCCGACACAACACAAAAGCGCAAAGGAGGAGGAGTAGCTCTATTCATTAGGAATGCTATCCCATTTGCCATTATCGACGGTGTATCCCATGAAAGTGGGACGTGTGAATTAGTTAGTCTTCGCTTAAAATGCAAGCGACAAGAGCTGCTGACTGGTTTGGTCTATCGCAGTCCAAGCTGTGAGGCAAATGAGATCCTATTAAGCAGTCTCAATACTTGGTCCCAAAGTGGTCGATGTCTAATCCTAGGGGACTTCAATGCACCTATGGTAGACTGGGAAAATCTGCGAACTAAATCGTCGGAGAATTCTTTCGAGCAGGAACTAGTTGATGCGGTTATCACATGTGCTCTATTGCAACATGTGAAAGAAGCGACAAGGTACGATCCGGACACTGAATCATCCTTATTAGATCTTATACTGACTCACTATGAGGATGATGTTGCGAACCTCCACCATATGCCACCCTTAGGTAAAAGTGACCACGCAGTTTTAACTTTCGACTTCCACATAACTGCCAGTCACGAGGACGCGTCAGTCCAGTCCAGACCCAACGTCTGGAAAGCAAACATACCAGACATCATGCATTCAGCATCGTTAATAGATTGGACAATAGACCCAGAGTCTTCCATTGAAACGGCCTGGAACGCATTTCGAAATTCATACTTAAAAGTTACCACACCTCACATCCCTTGGACTATGCCAAAGGGGCCGAAAAGCTCACCACCATGGCTCAGTAGGGAGGTCCGTATCCTTCTCCGTAAGTAAAGAAAAATGTGGGATAGATTTAGGTTACTGGGGAATGATGAGTCAAAATCTCAATATCGAAAGGCTCGGAATACTTGTGCCTCGACCCTCCGTAAGTCTAGAAAATTGTACGAAGAAAAGATTGTTAAGGACTCCGTAGAATGTCCTAAACGCTTGTATTCTTATATAAACCAAAGGACAAAGAGAAGAGGAAATATTCCTGCTCTATGGGGAGACAGTGCTGCTTCATCAATAGTGGAAGACGACTTTGGTAAGGCTCAAGTGTTCTCGAACTACTTTAGCAACGTATATACCATAGAAGCGCCCTTCCCGTCAGCGTATACAGATCCCCCCATACATACACTGGATAGCGTGACCATTAAAGAACTCGATGTCTTTGGTCCGCTAAATAAGCTTGACATAGGTAAATCCACGGGGCCCGATGAATTACATCCTAGGCTACTGAAGGAATTATCTAACTTCGTTGCAAGCCCTTTAAGTACATGCTTTAACCTATGCGTTACGCAGGGTCGTTTACCAAAAGACTGGAAAAATGCCATAGTAAGTCCTGTCTTCAAAACAGGTACGAAACACAAACCTGAGAACTACCGCCCCGTTAGCCTAACTAGTGTGGTTGTTAAAATCTTAGAAAATATTATTCGGAAGGAGCTGTTTAAGTATCTCGATAAAAATCGGATCCTCTCGGAGAAGCAGCACGGTTTCAGAATAGGTTACTCTTGTCTCACTAACTTATTAGTGGCTCGTGAAAGCTGGTGCGCTCTTAAGGACCAAAAGCTACCTGTAGACGTCGCCTTTATTGATTTTGACAAAGTTCCGCACAACCGGCTGTTATATAAGTTAAGAAATGTCGGGATCGGAGGTAATTTATTGATGTGGATAAAAGACTTCTTAGTTGGGCGTCAACAAAGAGTAAGGGTGAACTCAAAGTTATCTAGCTGGGAAACTGTGCTTAGTGGAGTGCCCCAGGGTACAGTTTTGGGGCCCGTGCTATTCCTCTTGTATGTAAATGACCTTCCTCGTCTCCTATCATCATCGGTCTTGCTATATGCTGACGATGTCAAGATATGAAAAACGATACGATGTAAGAGTGATAGCTTAGAACTTCAAAATGACCTGAATAAGTTATCTGAATGGTCTCAAACATGGCAGTTGCCGATAAATACTTCCAAGTGTGTTGTGATGCACATCAGTCATCAAGGTACAGATACATACACGATGAATAACACTGAGCTACCTGTCGTCTAGACATATAATGACTTAGGAGTTATCGTTAGTCAAGACTTAAAGACTACTGCACACTGCCGTGCAATAGCCGCCAAAGGTTTTATAACGTTATGGTCAATACGTAGAGCTTTTAGTCATATCGACGCCAAAACGTTTTTGACTTTGTATACAGTGTTCGTACGTCCCAAACTTGAGTACTGCATACAAGCGGCTAGCCCCTGCTTAAAAATAGACAATGAGCTTCTGGAAAAGGTTCAGAGAACGGCGACTAAGCTGATTCCCGGAATAGCGAAGCTTCCGTATGAATCTCGACTGGCCAAGCTGAACCTTTTCCCGTTGTCTTATCGCAGAACTAGAGGCGACTTGATTACAGTCTACAAATTGCTTAGTGACAAATTCGCACCTGATATGCCCTCATTTTTCCTGTCTTCCAAAACAGAGAATTTACGAGGGCACTACAAAAAAGTTCAAAAGCCAAGAACAAATTACTTGTCAGCTGACCATCGACTTTCCCATCGAATCATCAACGAGTGGAACTCATTACCTCAGCACGTAGTTGAGGCTCCATCCGTCGATTCTTTCAAAAGAAAGTTGGATCAACTGAGGGACCATCATTGCCAGGACTAACATAGGCCATCAGGCCTCCTGTCCTTCCCAAACTGAAACTGAAACTGAAGTATGAAAAGAAATGAAAGACACATCATGCGCTGCACATATTTTTAATTGATAACGTTAGCAACATAAGTAACACCTCTACTCACGATACGAGACACATTGACACAATTTCCCAGTTTTCGGACAAATTTGACCCCTTTTCGAGAAGCTGCTATAGAAAAATGTTTCTACTAGTCGATCAATGAAAAAATCGAATTCAAAGTCTAAAGACTTTTCATACACTGCAAAACTAATATCAACGTATTTTAATAAGGGTAAAAACAATTTATTTTGAGAACTTCAAAAGGCAACGAACATGTCAGTATAACAACTACATTGAAAAGAAAATTGAATTACCGTACTGTCAGTAAATGGAAACAGTGAATTAATTGAAACAGTAAAACAAAGATTGTACGAATTCTGTAAGCACATTAAAAAGAGGATGTAGGCATCTCTTACACATAATTACATATAAGTCCCACATATTTCCATTGTCTTAGTTTAAAAACATTATTTACATTCTGAATTTTAGTGCAATCCTGATAGATATGTGGGCTTGAAAATGATCAGAAACACCATAAATACTTTGGTTGTTTTTTGAATAATTTCGAAATTTTTTTGTAAAATACACAAAGACCTTCATTTTAAAACACATAATACCGTCGAATCCTAAATGCTTACAAATGGTTCAGTTGGAAACTACGATTTGTCTGTAATCCAGTGTAAAGAAAAACATGACGTCGATCAAGAATTGGAAAGTAAAACGTCCATCTTGAGAAGCTTATGCTATAGGTATTCGTAAAGTTTATCAATTAATGTATCGGCCACTTTCTGTAATTGTTTTTCCAACTAACTAATAGTAAATGGGAGCATTAACAAGGGATGTTAATCGCAACACCGTAAGTTTTATTAGAAATCAGTAACCCAAAATCGTCGTTTGAATATACCGAGAGGATTCCACTATGGATAATAAGAGAGACATCAGCCACTTTAGATGTTAATTTAAAAAATACTATATATCATAATCACAGTTATTGTTTTTATATAGATCCCTTTCGGTGAACCCCAATTATCTGCAGATTGAGAAAGTTTGGTTTATTTGTGGACGAAGAATTTAGCTGCCCTGTTCTCCAGGTAACTGAATTTTGTGAAATTATGTTGACCTTGCTTTCGAATAAAAAAGCAACACATTTCTCTTGATCATATAAATGGGGCGGCATTGATTTTGCAAACCAGTCCCCATTCTACGCAAGCTAGCTTTTGGAAATTTAATCTTATTGTCTCCAGCAGGATAATTTTCCTCGTTTGAACCACCCGTTTGAGTAAGCGTGTGCAGCTTTTGATGAAGATGAACGCAATTCGAAAGAACATTTATAAAAGGTCATAAAAATATACATTTAATTCAAAGAAATAGTGATTTGACAAACTCGGACTATCGGGTCGTTCATTCTCAATTTTAAAAATGCCTGTTCTTGCGAACATATTACGAAGGATTATGGGCCTGTCTGACTTAGAAACGAAGAATTATTTGACTGCTAATATGAGATTGTGGTTCGAGATGTATATTACAAATGAAAAAGCATCCACTAGCGATGACTGACAGAACTATTTATTTTAGGGGCTTATTTACTGCTACAGACTTTTATTTGAAATCCTGGATAAAGTTTATACACTACAAATCAGTGAACAATTAGAACTCTGATTACATGTGAATAAGTAAGATAAACTTTGAGTATGATTTTAAAAATACGGTTTTTGCGTGTAATGGTAGATTGAGAATACGAAGTTTACCCACCTTGATTGATACTCCAAAAGCAATTGTTTCATAGAGTTCAGCTTATTGATGGTCAAGTGAAATTTATTGTAATCGATGAGGACGAATGATTGAAAATTGTAGCTCTTTACTAATGTTTATTAACTTACAAATCAGATCACTTATGAGACCTATTCTTTCCTTCAATCAAAGATGATCATACTATGGAATTCACTTATATAGTCCATAGCCCTTTAACATCGAACATAAAAACAAAGACAAATCGAGGTATTTGTCTAGAGAACATACGATGATAGTGTTACAAACACAAGTAATACAATAATTTCAGTCAAAAATACGAGAAAAACAGATGTGATTTACTTTCATCCATGAACGCTTTTAATCGACCAATATGGGAAGGAAAGTACAATGTAATAAGTTTAATGTATAATATAATAGTTTAGTTCTCTTTCGAAACCAAATTTTAAACATTGTTTCAACTGTATGAAGTAAAATAGGTCACACGTTAAGTTTTACAGCCATATTTGGCAACAAATGTCTAATTTGAATACCCGTATGTTCACGATTAGTCAAATGAAGAACAATTAGGTTAATTCGTATGATTAAAAAATTGTGAATTACTCTCAAACCATAAAAATTCCGTTTTGTTGTTCTAATTGAAAGGAATTGTCACTGACTTCCCATCTACTGCTTTGTGTATGAATTTCAACTGAACTAAGAGAAACATTTCTAGCAGTTCAAAATATATACAGCATTACGGTCGTAATTGATTAAATTATATAAACGACTAAAACTGATAGGGTTGAGGTTATTTTTACTGTCTAAATGCTATATTATCTCTTTGATTGAACAGTGATTGTTTATCTACTCCAATAAATTAAATTTCAATTATACCGCTATTTTAAGTTTCGACCTACATATCGTGATCTATGCAACATCACACAGGTAACTCATTATCAAAAAATGGAAAAAGGTCGGAAAGATATACACAGAAAGAACTGAGATTTTTACTCGAGGAAGTTCAGAAGTATCCAAATATTATAGAGTCACCGAATAGTCATAGTGAGACAAAACACAGAAAGTTTGTATTATGGCAGCACATTTCAAAAAAGTTACAAAACAAATTTCCTGATTCTAGCTACAAATCTCCAATTCAGCTCAGAAATTGGTGGAAAAGAACTAAAAGTAGGGCTAAACAACGTCTTTCGTGTGGACCATTTTTTATGGAAAAATGTAAATTCACTGAAAATGGTATCAGAGAAGTTCATGAAAACAGCCGAGGATACCTGGAGACAATTTTTTCTGAAATCTGTGAGTTCAGGCGTCAGATAATGACTTCTTATACACCGGAGAAAGAAGATTCCGAATTTATGAAATTTTTAGAGGAAACATCAGAAGATTATAGTTCAGAAGATGGAGAACGCGTGAGTGGACCTTCAGAATCTAGTGAGTTTGAAAACGATTCATTGAAAGAATCATTCGGGGCCTTTGCACGTGGAAAAATCTTATCTTTTAGTAGCAATCGCAGCATAGATTTGCTAGAAAATAATCACGTTCGAAGTTCAAGTCCCAAAGATGCTCATAAAGAGACTAATGTTTCTCCTCAAAATTTTTTCGATTACGACCCAACCGAAACAATTCTAAAAAATTATAATGAAGGTGAATCTATATCACAGAAGGATAATACTAATGGTCTACTTAGTCAGATTTTCACAAACGCAGCAGCGAATTTTCTATCAAACTATAAACATTTAATTGAGAATCCATCACTTTGTAGTACGAGCGGAATATATTATTCTGACACCGATATGTCGCATAAAAATTCTGATGAAAACAGTGGTGACGGTTTGACAGAAGAACCAAGTTTGAGTGGTAATTCGTCTTCGCTCTTGACCGAAGCTTCTAAAAACCTTGAACTGTCAACGAATGAAAATAATGTGTTTTGTATTCCTTCGGTTTCAAGTCATTCTAACTGTATGCCAATGCTAAATGCGTCTAACTCATTCAGAAACATTAATAATGGCTCTGACTGTTCGTTTTTGTGGCTGGAACTGATGCAAATAGATAATGAAATACTTAAACTTAAAAAACGAAAACTGGATCTAGAAATTACTATTTCAGATGACTGCCTAAATAATTATCTGCAAAAACTACATGTACCGTAAATGAATAACAGCGTATCGATGACTGAAATAATTATAAATAAAGTTTTTTTCAGCCAGTATATTTATATATGCCAGTACATGCCGGATTTTGATAAATGTGCCCATATTAATATATAGGTTAGAACACTTAGCCAAAATCTTGCATTGATGTATAAGAATGTTAGGCCAACATTAACTTGCCACTGATCAAGGAAGTTTCGCTGGAATATTAATGTCACCTCAATGTCTTTGAACTCTCGGCGATATGATTTTGCCGACAGTTGATTATTTGAGAATTCCATACCGCATGTTGTTGAATGAAGTATTTACTGTTGACTAAATAGAGAAACAGCTAGATGACCCACTGTGCAAGTTGAATAAAGCGTTGTAACAATTAAGTTTATAACGAGTTTAGGAGTTACTTAGTCCATTTAATTTGTGAGGGAAGCTAATTGTTTAGTTCCATAGTACGTTAGCTCATTTTTTGTCGTAAATCATTCCTTTCGTCAAAGTCAAAAGAATACATTAATCACAAATATCTTTTTAATTTAACATTTTTAAACAGGCTCTTGTTTTAAACATATATTACTCCAAGTGTTTGGTGGCTGAGGTATGAAAAATCGTTTTTCCTCCATGAAATAACTAATTAATTAAGATCACAAGCGTTTTAAATTTAATAAGAAACACATTGTTTCTAGTATTTTCCAGTATAAGCTGAAAATCTCGTAAATATTCCATATACATAGTCAATTTATGGTGCCTTATATGTTAGTATATGGAAAAGCTGATAAAATTATATTAGAAACAGTGTCTTTTGTAATTATCATCCGAACCAATTTTAAAATAAACGTATATATTTAGTTACATACGCAAATAGTTAGGAGAGAGTTTTATGGTTATTAGAGTGCTACAAAACCTAATATGCAATTTTCATCGAAACCTTTACGAATCATAAATAGTTAGAAAAACTGAAGCGTCATATGACGCATGATTTGTGGGCAAACTTTTAAAAACACCACAAATACAGCTTAAAAATGCATAACAATAAAGTAACTAGTAGTATTTATAAAATAAAAGCTAAAAGTAGGAATCATAAGTGAGTGCAGGCCATTTTTTCAATTCTTTTTTCTAATTGAACGCTTATTTGCCCATAGCTAAAATAATAAACATTATTACTAACACTCAGTGTTCAATCTTCACTACAAGACATATTTTTACTCATATACCAGACTAGAATAACAAGCTTGTCCTTTTCAATGCTTGATGTGGGTTGGATCACTTATTGAAAAAACGGCGCCAAATAATCTTCCAATATACATAAGCGCGGAACAAAAATAAGTTAAAGTACACTTCAGTACTTGTCTATTTTTATTTAAACCCCAAGAACAAACCATGTACCAGCTTCCAAAATGTAGTTTTATCAAAATTTCGCTTTCCCAGTGAGTTATAATTTAACTTTGAAGAAACGATGGGATGTTACGGTCTTTAGGTCATGGTATTAAGTCGAAGAAACTCTAAACCAATACGTATACATAAATAAAGTTATAAGGGTGTGTTTTTGATATAACTTTCAATATGTAGAGATTTTATACCCGTATTAAAACAGCAGTTTGTGATGCATTTGAGTAGATTTTATATCGTTTGAACTCTCTCGAAAACCGATTGATCAAGTTCTGCTAATAAAGAGAAAAATGGCGAGTTATTATAAAGACAACGTCCCCTTGTAGCTATATAACTTATTGAAGCCAATTGGCTTATCTGGACACTGATGACAACACAAATACTAGGATCCAATAACTGCTTTTTTCTTGATCTTACCTCTTCTTATTTCATATCCAACGATCGCAGACCATTTTTGAACCCTATAGTGTTAATCATCTGCACGTTGCTCTTTTTCACATTCATCGAGACTTCACTGTCCTATGTATTGTCGTTCGCTGTCCAAATCCATTTATTTTTTGTAGACGATATGACTATGTGTCATAACAGCCATCCTTGTATTTTTTTACCTGAGACAATATTTTACTACACATGCATAGATATCTATTTTTATGGTTGGGATTTCTAAACAGTTATTGCTTAGGCGCTCTTGTGTCTGGACAATTCTTTATATAGGCCTTCCGTAACTTGAGCTCGCTTTATATCGTACTGTTCATTATTTTCCACATGATGGTATTCTTTCTTTATTTGTCCGTGTACCATAAGTTCAGGCTCTTTTGTCTAATTTTCTCAGTTTAGTAGCATTATGTTCTCTTTTGGTTAATCTACTTTTCATAATTGATCTTCAGAATCATCCTCACAGTATTCAACACTGTTTCTAAAGACATCTACTGTTTCTGACACCGAAAAGCTCAAATGAAGTTCTATTCTGATAGCCATAAGTACATCATACTGAATTACGTAAAATGCATCCTAAACAGAATTATAGACAAAATATAGTGGTGCTTCTTAAATTTGAATGATATCTCGCTCAAAAACTTTCAAATCATCTCAGCATATTAGGTGAATATTAACAGGTAAATACGTACAGGCCACTTAACTGTTATTATAAAGCTAATAACATTGAAGAAAGCACTTCAAGATTTCTCACGTTCGTTTCCAGAGTTCAGTACCATATAACATCAGGAAAGCACCGACCAGATTTATTTTGTAGCCGCATAATAAGCGCCGGCAATATGCTTTGTTTCATTTATCAAAATCATACAATTATTTTAGTGTTCATTGAAGCATGAATTATCTACATCTCACAAAGCCAACTTTTCCTAAACAATTTGTGTTTCAATACCTATTTCATTCTCTAGACAACACTTTTATAATATGCTTTTAATGAACGTATCATGTCTCACGAAGTTTGTAAAGCATCAACAAATTTACTATAGGATTCTAGACAACTAGCTATTTAGTTAGGATTTTAATTTATAGTTACAGATACAAAGGATCAGCTTCTGTTGTTATATATGCATCCAGAGTGACTCTGTAGCTAAGTGTATAGTGCGTTGACACTTTAAGTCAAAGGTACTGGGTTATTATAGCGATTACTAACTTACCGGTACAGGTAGATCCAGCTGAATAATCTTAAATAAAATGAAACACAGTTAGTTACATAGCAAATATACTAGAATTAGCTGGTTGATTTAGGAAGAAAAACTGATGTTCATTAGGTTTCTCTTTTTATTTCAACCTCATATTCGAAGTCATAAACACAGAGTGTAAGGTTGTAAACTGCTCTTCGATAATGTATGGGGGATGAAAAGTCCAGCCAGAATGTAAGGACGATATACGATTTCATAACCGACGAATATTTACACTTTCAAAAAATTACCAAATTATGTCTTTTTGTAACTACAGGTACTTATCATACAATTATTTATGAAAATATGTTGTTGTTAGCACCACTTAGGTGGATAATTGATATGCTTAGATTACACATCGGTTGAAAGTTTACAATACGAGTATATTCGCTGAATTATAGACAGGCCTAGTAAAACTGTAATTTGGTGATTCTTAACAAACCTAATTTTGAGTGGTCTTAACTAATCTCAACAAAATGAACGGGACTTTAAATATATTCAAAAGTGTATAACATCTGACACCGTTTTGACGACTTTCTATATTGTTCACAAACTCCATATAACTATCACCCAACGAAAAATATAATTCAGGAATTAGCAACTGATTGCAATTAACTCTCAGGTGAGATCATGATCTGCTGCAAGAAAATGATCTGACGAACAGGCAGACTGCTGCACTATAATTCTGTGTTTGCCACAAAACCTAAAGACGCTGGATTTGACCCCATATTAGGTACTAAGCGGCTACTACGGAATAATTTCCTTGTGAAATTGGCCAGTGCTTCTTGCTACTCAATAGTTACCGAACTGATATTTACTTTTTTTAGAATTGCTCTTAAAAATTCAAGGGAATCTACACAAGAGCATCTTTTACGGTACATTGCCATATATCAAGACGAATGAAAACTCCGTGAATGTATTGTAGATTAGGATAACCATTTCATTTGCTAAGTGATGATGGAAACAAAAGTCAATTTTTGATCGGTTTACTCAGTATGAGTTCAGTCCAAGAGTACTTCCGTTTTGATTCAATGTAATGATTACTCAATGTAGTATTCGGCTTTGTTTTGTCGTATGATATTTTATTCTGTATAAGATACGATATTCTTGTATTTCATTGACATGAACTATGCTCAGTCTGTGATTTGTTATAACTCTAAATATATTTCATATATGTGATTTCATCCTAATTATTAATCAAAATGGGTGTACTAGTCATCGTGTTTTGTGGTTAATAAATCATCATTTATACCAGTCTTTGTGTTCTTAATTTCGCGTCGTGGGAATTGCTGAGGTCCCTCGTTCCGAGTATAACTGATAAGCGTTCCCGACATAACAATCAGCGACGACCAGATACAAAAAGTAGCATTAAAAGAGCCAAGACAATAAGCATTCAAACGACAAATTATAACAGTAAGCATGTTGTTCTATAAGTGCAGTTACTGATCTAAATGTTTGAAAGTGATTCCACAACAACAACCGTCTCAGTAAACGGAGGCCCATAAAATGTCTTACAAGATTGGTCCAACAACCAAGGCTATAGTAAACAGAAAGCATTCTATATTCGCAACCATATCACGTTCAATAAAAATACAATTATACTGCCATAAGGGTAACAAAATGTCAAAATGCAAGTATAACAATAATTTGGAAGAGAGGAAATCACATCGTTGTTGTGCTAATTATAATAAATCTAAACAGGATAACAATGAAAATAAGTAAACCGAGCGTTTTTCGAAGGAAACCTGTTTAAAATTTGGAAATAAATCAAACATGAACTTAAAACTACACAAAAGGCAAATGATTATAAAGTAACGTAAATAAGAGGAAAAACGACTAGTATGAGTAAACATTAGAACAATTCTATTTCATACAATCACTTAAAACAGTATTGTTAATTGTTATTATAAACCTGATTAACAATTAATATCAATATGAAACTAGTAAAATAGAAGTTTGTTTTTTTTGTGCATACATTACTCGAACTACGTTGATGCACCCTTTTTGTTATTGTATGCGATAAGTTAGTCGATTTAGACAAACAGAACTTTAAACCGGTATGTTTCAAAAGCAGGAATAGAGTACGTTGAGGACAACACAGAGATAGAAAAAGAGGGAGTTAGAAAATGAAACAAAGTTGTCCATGGGGCAACATACATACACATATATTAGAGACATGTGTCATTAAAATAAAATTTGTTGCACTGTCTGTAAGCCAACAGCATTCATGTATTCAAAAAATTACAAAAAATGTGAACTACAAAAAGGGAAACATAAGTGCAAAATAATAAACTATATCCGATGAATCGATAGGACACATATCAAAAATGATACTGAAATTTAAAGTTTGGCGATTTGATATTTTAAATAAATGTCAGATTAAAACAAGCAGATTTGGAACCAAATCAGTTTAAAAAGAAAAACTAAAATTCCAACATTTTTTTACAGTACATATATAACCATGGCAACGTTTCAAAACATATTAATATATTTCTTTATTCATAAATACAAAATAGACGTTTATAGCGAGTTTAACGGAGCTGAATCCAATGAGTCGACAGCATAATTTCCTAGCAATCCCGTTGAACTATGATTGCAGTCTATACTGTTTTCATTTCCATATGTATGTGACCACCGATCTAGGGAATCATCACGTTCGCATTCTTTAACAGATTGAATACAACTAGAACTAGTATTGCATGACAATAAGTGAGGAACATCCTTAAGATGTGTATTCATTGCACCCGACACAACCTTAGGTGAAAAATCAGAGGCCTAGAAAAGAATATATGATAAAACACAAAAATAAGACAATGAAATCGGTAATGTAATGATTGGTTCATTAAGACAAGGTCAGTACTTAAGACTTTAAATCCAGTCAATGGTGTATTTTGTCCAGCGATTTGTTTCTAACGTCAATAATTATATCTGTGTATAAACGTACTTAGTTAAATTTACAGTAGATTTATTTCCAGTAAGGAACGCAAAAATACTTTTTTGACAATCCTAATGTCTAAGTATGAGACCATGCAAGAAATCTGACGAAACATTTGAGAATACACAGCAGATACATGTCCTAACAGGTAGTACGAAAAATGACCCACTGATGTGACACTTAAATATCACACGTCTTAGGGGATTGACCTCGCAACAGTAACTTCACAGAAATGTACACTAACTTTGGAATCACGAAAAATAAATCCGATTATTTTAGATGAATGAACGAAAAATATATGTTTATTAGAATAAAGTATAAAAATTAATATAACAATGATAAACTTGAAGGGTTATATTCAGATAAAATTAAAAACTTACAGCTAAGTCTATTTGTAATAATCCTGGAGATTCTGTACCACCATCTGACGAAGTAGAATGGTCTACTGCAGAGTCAATATTACTAGACAATGAATTACTTTTGACCATTTCAGATACTTTTCGCTTCTGTGCATACCCTTTTTGATTTGATTTATTTAAAAAGTCTTCATTGTTAGCAGCAGGAAGTTTTGCCGTAAGAAGTTCAGGTGCTGGGATTTTAGAAGTAGAATTTTTGAAAGAATCTCTAGAACCTGATATCATTGAACTGTTCACCATACCGGGAGAGCGCGAAATAGAACGATCCTGCTTCTTCAGCGGAACATTTAAATGAAATTGAGAATCTATACTTGCATAAAAGTGGAATTCCGATATTAACACGTTAAAATAAAACTCAATTTCAAAAATTTCGAATCAATATATACTTAAGAAAGAGCAAATTCACAAAGTTTGGGTATACAATGCCCAAATTTTCTATTATTGCCAAAACATTTTTACACATGTTTGTGAAATATAATAGCTAAGAGACTAAATGTAATAGTAAAATTCAGCAAAATAATCATGCTGAAATAACAGAAAACTTTTACATGCCCATTTTCCAGTTACTTGTAAGTAGTGTGAGATTAAATCGTTAATAATGACTGGGACATAAGCTTATTATTTTAAAAAACGAGAAATTAAACTAATGGTACAAAAAGATAAAAGATAAGAATATAATATCATCATTTGAATACGTTACATATGAAATGTATATACACGAAGATGTAGCAAAATAACTCACAATATAATAGATTATTCACCAAAAAAATAATCATAATTTCAATAGTTGAATTCATGAGTCAATTGAAGCTAGACTACCACGGAAAACCTGGAAGCACTGGACGACCGCTTCGTCCTATTGTAGAATTCCTAAGCAGTGAGTATCCACGATCCCAACTAATGAGATTCAAACCCAGGACATATCGTTCTCGTGCGCGAACGCTTAACCACTAAACCACTGAGCCGGCATACAATGGTGTTAATGTCAACCTTCAACTAATCCACGAAATTGAGCGACACATCCACCATTGTCTTCATTGAGTTACTATATCCACTGATAACTGCTTCTCATCAAAACCTCAAGAAATACTTCTTGAAGCCAGTCACTAGTGAACATATGCTGATTAGTATTAGAATGATAATAGTCAGGTGGTGATAAATTAAATACTAAATTTGGAAATAAATTGACTTATAGTTGGAGACGTTCGATACGATAGCAACGCATCCGATTACAGTGACCTAGAAACATCTACTCTTTTTTTCCGAAAGTTTTTACCTCTTATCCTTCAAATGGAATTTTTTCTTCTCTAAGCATATAATCTATGCCTAACTATGTTTTTACTTATACGAATTCTATTACTTTGGGCATTTGTCTGGGTAATTTCATTTCGCTGTTCTGATGTGTTATGGTAACGCAAACTGATCCACACATGAGCCGGGTTAAAAGTCAAATCAATAATGCTGTCTTATTCCATTGCATTTAATGAACAGAAAAATGACATAATAAAGTGGTCAATATTGATGAAAAACAGCATAATATCTAAATCTCATGTTCTCTTCCATGAACAATATCAGTAACCAGATCACAAAAGTTCATTAGTTTTTTTTGTCAGATATATCCCGAATACCAAAGTTAGCTAAATAATACAGTGCTTTATAAACAAAACGTAATATATTAACAACCAATGATTAGACATAAAACTTCATGCACACAAACCTGAATTACGTGTGGAATGGTGTTTGCTAATAGGTGATGGAGTCCTGGGTAGATGAGGCGAACATATATTGTGTGAGAAAAATGAATTTCTTGAAATTGTTTGAGCTCGTATTTCCTCTGTAATAGCCTGAAATAGATAGTGTATGAACTTTTGAACTAGTAGTCAAAAATATCATGGAAGAACGAAATGACGAAAAATACTGACAACTTTAACAGTTCCAATTATTAACTTACACAAAATACAGTAGTCGTGATAAAACTAACTTCTAGTTAATTCTCTTCAAAACTAATGGAACTAAGCATGGTATATATGTAAAGAAATCTAATCATATATCTAAACAGAAGTAGCATTAAATTTATATCCCAACATTTGAAAATCGAATGTTTAAAGCACTCGACCTACAATTCCATTTCACTGGTCTTACGAAATAAGATGTATGCTATAACTTATTGTTCCTGAAGCAAAAGATAATCATATGAGAAATCGCCTCATTGAAAAAGCATTGTTCTGACATTTCGCATTCGATAGTTATAAAATTTATTATTATTATTATTATTATTATTATTATTATTATTATTATTATTATTATTATTATTATTATTATTATTATTATTATTATTATTATTATTATTATTATTATTATTATTACAGACTAGTTTAAAGATTTCAACACAAAAAGGTTCACCAATATGGACTTATTCAATACGTAGAAAAATGCCAGTAAATTAGGACGCGTATAAACTAAGTAATGATATAATTTTGGGTTATCAATTTGGTGTTTAACGATTATAATTATGATTGTCGTAAACGGAAAAAACAGCACCGAATATCAGAGAGAAACACTTTTTTTACCCAAAGATTTAAAAATATACAAAAGAATCTACATTACCTTATTAATATGGCTTTCTAGTGTATTCAAACCCCCATGCACAGACGAACGCTTGCTTGTATTAGAGGAAACATGAGAATCTATATTATTAACCGGGTTGACAGAATCTGATACAAATTGACTGAGTTCAGTTGGATTACTAGATGTTTGTATGCGATCGTTTTGACCTTTAGATGGCTGAGTTTATGAACAAGCACATTACAAAAATAAAAGGGTGAATAGTGCTTAGAAAATTTTATATGTAAAGAATATCGACAAATTTTAACTGGAAATGAAGAGATTGTAAAAAATTGCAAACACTCTTGCGTTACAGAAAACCGAAACATTAGCGATTTAAATGACAAAAACGTGTCTCGAATAAAGTTGTCATCTACTGGTTATTCATCCTCTGATCACTGAGTTGCTGATTAAGTAATCAATCAATCCCTCGCTAAGTCGTTTTGTTACCCTATATTATAACTTATTTTCTCCCCAAACTTGACTAATTTCGCTAAAATGTACCAAGAGTGTAAAACGTTTGGTTGCGTCATTCTAAGCCAAAAAATAACACAAAAAAGAATTAGGTACATTATACGTCAATGATATAAGTAGGATGTATTTAAACGAACAATTCGGTTTTTATATAAACTCAGTAAATACTTAATTTACTCAGATGATTGTACTAGCATTAGTTGGAATATAGGAGCGATACACAGTTCGAAACTTCTGAGAAAATACTGATCGGTAATAGAGCTATACGACACGAATTACACCGAAACGAGTTACTTGAAGTGAAAAAGTAGCACAATTTAAGAACATTTTTATTCTCAATTGTGTTTAATTCATATAGACACGTATAAAACTCAAATTCTCATTTCAATGAGAACAGAGTTTGTTAACCTGTAGTAAGCCCATTCAACTTTTGTATTATTTGTCTGCTCACTGTAATTTAGACACAATCCACTATGTAAAATCATGTGTGAGTCTGATTGAGCGCGTGTCTGAATATCAATCTTTATCCATTTTCATTTTAGGTATCATTGCCAAGGTTTGACTTAATAATTGATAATCTCTGTCTTACCATAAACCGTGAGATTACTTTATACCTTTCTCCATACGAACTAATTCTTTCTCCCTGTATCATATCTTTATATACAATCCTTTTGTATATATTACAGTCATTAAAGGAGATAATTCTATGAATTTGGTGTTCATCTTGTTATGCTAATGAGGTGTGACAACTTGGACGAATGCATATATGCGCCTGGTCCCACGTTGTAGCTGAGTGACTGAATAACCTTCCTCCCATGTAACTTAGCGTGGACACATATGGTATCTATGATATTGAAGCTTTCGGAAGTTATATTACTATTAAAGCTAATAACTATTGCATTGTCTATTAAAATTAGATTAATTTAGCAAGGTTATAAATACTACTAGTTCATAAATCACAAAAAGCATCAGCAATATACAAGGAAAAACCAATGTGAATATTCCGATATTCAGTGTATAAAGGGATGGCATCAAAGCGAAAAGAAGCTTACTTACTATACATCTTGGAGTTCCTCTTGATAATTCACTTTTCATGTATGAACCAAATGTATGATTACCGGCACCCTCAGATGAATGTGGACGTGGTAGACACATACCCATATATTCCGACTGCTGATCTCTAAAATTCAGATTTGGAATGTTGATATTAGTAACAGACACATTGCAAGCACTTGGAAGGTGGAGAGAACTACTTTCCTCCTTTGGCTGCCGTAACTGTTGTATAACACCATAAAACTGAGAAGATTCGTTACCCATTAGAGTCCGTATAGGATTAGATCGATCACGAGAAGTATACGACCCAAGTTCTTCTAGATATAATTTATTAGCGTTTGCAATAAATGATGCCACCTGATCTGAATTTATGGACATGTTAGGATCATTTTCTGGTTTGAAAGATATAGAATTAAGACTATTATCTAGCTGGCGAGTAAATGAAGATGTCGATTGGTGATTGGTATCATTTCTAGAAACTGGAACTCCCAAAAGTGGATTAGGTTGACACGGAGGAGTAGAATGGTTGGCAGGTGGCAATAAACTATCAGCCTAAAAAGAAAAATTGATACAAAACTAGACATATTTTTGAGATTTTACGCAAATTCGAAGAGATATCTATCGAATAACTAGAAAATATTGCAATGAAACCATACATTTTGGGATAGCTATAAACAAAAAGTACATCTTACTTTAACAGGACTTGGAGACAGAGGTGAGTATACACAGCGTTCTGGACCACTAAAATTGTTTTCTGACACAGATGAACTACGACCATCAAACTGACTAACCGATGACGACGCAGCTGCTGCTGCAGCGGCAGCTTTCGCATGTATAGCCAACCTAATAGCATGTTCAGCGAGGATATCACTCCCCAAGCATTTTTCTATTTAAAACAAGGGAAAAATAAAAATCAGTAAAATTTGTCATAAAAATAATATAAAGTTAATTGGTAGTTTGTAATAAGACCGTACACAAAGTGAAAGTTTACACTGAAACTCTTACAATACGGAAAATAAAATTTCATTCACCTTTTAACAAGATCATGACTACTTTGAAAATGGAAAGGTCTTAAAACAGTATTCCAGTGACTTTAGTGAGCAACAACTGGATCAGCCACCTTTTTATGCTTTTATCAAATTAACTGCTCCAGTAGAGCATAATGCATTGCTAGATATTTTAGGAATTCACATACCTGTGTTGCGAATACCTTCCAAAGTTACTAAGCGAAGGCGTAGTTAGAACTGTCAACAGTTGTATATAACTCCAGTTAGTGCGAAAGGGTTATATAGAAAGCATGAATCCATTGTTTGTAGTCATCTGTCACATAATCAATCAGCATCAATGTCACTTAACTATTAATTTAATCCATGTCATCATTCCATACATTCCGTAACCTATTAAACATTTGATTTTACTTTGTTAATTCACTCACCTTACGCTATTTGTATTTATCTTGATTATCAAATTTCAGACTTGTAACTGATGTATAAACTTACACAAAATAACATTGTATACTATAAGTTACAACATTAGGGAATTTATTTTATTTTAACCATGAATTCAAACTCTGTAATTCCTGAAAGATGTATTTGCACTAAACTTGGTCCTTCACTTGAAACATTAATTAGATTTATAATTGTAGAATCTAATGAGAATTTATTGAATAGAATATAATTAAATAACCCATAGTGTCATTGAATAAAGAAAAGAAGAATTCAGCGAATAAAATTTTCTTTTCGACGAAATCATTTACTTAAGCTGTACATTCGTATATATAGTTATATGGAAAATGTATGTCTATAGTAGGATAGAATGGATTGTATCACAAAAATGGATTCGACAATAAATAACAAATGAGGTTAACGTACTAATCAAGGGGTAAGGAAGAACAAAATTTAAGGGTCAGATAATAGTCCAATTGACAGATATGAAGAAAAACGACAAAACAACAAAGGTCATAATAATAGACTGAATAATAATCAAGAAAACTTGTAAAAGGTAATAATAATAAATGATTAGAGTTTAAAGTGCAAAATAGTAATAATAAAAGTGCATTAAAAAAAACACCTAGAAACATACCCATTAAGGGAATTAGGGCCAGGGAAGGATGAGAGGTTGGACAAATCGTTTCTGCACGCAAAGTTCAGGCTTTAGTTTGTGGATTGCCAATGCCTCTGCGGTGCATAAAATATTGATTCGAACCCCCCTTCGATCCAGTTCCTTTGACTCTGTAAACTATTTTAAACTAAGAGTCTTTTGGAGCGATATGTTCACAGTTGATTAAGTGCTCCTGTATAGAACTCGTGATTGTTTTTCGCTCCCCTTTCAAGAGCCAAGCCGGATAATGTTCCGAGATGCGTTTGGATAATGATCGCTTTGTGCGGCCTATGTAACATGACCCACATGAGCAAGTAAATTTATAGATACACATTGAAGTGGGCCAAAGCGAAAGTTTGTCCTTAACACACCCCAGAATGGTAGGTCGGCTAGAGAAGATGATTGGAAGCTTAGCTGCGTGTAATGTAATATTCAATGATTTCGAAATCCGTTTATTTAGGATTTCAGCAGCCGTATCTCCCTTAAATTCCATATTCATAAATAGAGTTCTTTTTCTCTACTGTCAATGCTTTGTCATGAGGTCTAGGTACCAAGTTTCTATCGATGAATCTCGGTGGATAACCATTTTTGATGAGGGTCTGTCGAAGATAAAATAGTTCCCCATCTATTGTGTCATTGGAACAAATTCGCCTGATCCTTGAGGATAAAGAATGAATTAAATTCCTTTTTCTAATTAATGGAACCCAACTGTGTGTTAGCGGGACATAGACTAGATTAAAGCATGCTCAATGCATGATTGCTTTGGTGCACGCTGATTGGCTAATTCTTATCCAATCGGCGCTAGTCGATAGTTGGAGAACATTCTGGATTTTTCTTATGTAAAAACTATAAATATACCGACGTTTTTCCCTATTGTGCTTCCTACTGGCTTCTAACTTGCTATTTGGAATATAATCTTTTTCCTGTTCAACCGTGTTCTGATTTGGGGACTTGTCGAGTGAATCGGTGTCCGAGAATACTAAGCAATAGGAATAGCTGGGTCATTAACCGTAAGAAGAACAGAGTTATAACAGTGGCGACGGGGAAAAACTAAGGAAAAATGGCGATTTCTTTAGAACAGTTGCGGTTAATATTACAGCACCAGCAGAAGTTGTTAGCCTTGCAACAACAACTATTGAGCACACTTTTCACTCGACCAGAAAATAAGAAATCTGTTTATGATGCAGTAACAGACATTTCAGAAGCATATCTAGTGGAGGGTTCAAATCCCTTTATACCTGAATCAGAATGTAATATTTGTAACGTTTCCGGCTCACTGCAAGAAAATCCTGTGCTGAATGCTCATAAAGTTGTGGCAATACGAGGTTATCAAGAGCCAGACCCTGTAGATGAAGCCCGGAGTCCTTTGACTTTGTCGACTCCATTAGAAATACCAATGTATCCGGTAAGAAAATGTTCTCATTAGACGTCACTTCTCTTTTTACAAATGTTCCCCTCACAGAAACCATTTGCTTTTTATGTGACTATATTGAAAACAATAATCTGGATATGTGTATCCCGAAACACAACCTTAAAGAACTACTTCTACGATGTACGCTCAACATGGAATTCAGATTTAATGATGTTTTCTATAAACAAATAGATGGAGTTGCAATGGGCTCTCCATTGGGTCCTCTCCTGGCTGATTGTTTTATGGCGAACCTTGAAAATTCGGTACGTCGACCAATAATTGAAAGGTTTCATTTATATAAAAGATATATGGATGACACTTTCATTATTTGCGAAGAAGATAGTGACCTCAATGATATTTTGAATATTTTCAATAACTGCCACCCATCGATCCAATTCACCTTAGAAGCAGAGACAAACCAAGAATACCATTTTCTTGATATCCATTTAAAAAGAATGCCTGACGGTTTATTACAGAGATCGATATACAGAAAACCCACTTGGAATGGACAATACACGAACTTCCACAGTTGCGTCCCATTAATTAGAAAAAGGAATTTAATTCATTCTTTATCCTCAAGGATCAGGCGAATTTGTTCCAATGACACAATAGATGGGGAACTATTTTATCTTCGACAGACCCTCATCAAAAATGGTTATCCACCGAGATTCATCGATAGAAACTTGGTACCTAGACCTCATGACAAAGCATTGACAGTAGAGAAAAAGAACTCTATTTATGAATATGGAATTTAAGGGAGATACGGCTGCTGAAATCCTAAATAAACGGATTTCGAAATCATTGAATATTACATTACACGCAGCTAAGCTTCCAATCATCTTCTCTAGCCGACCTACCATTCTGGGGTGTGTTAAGGACAAACTTTCGCTTTGGCCCACTTCAATGTGTATCTATAAATTTACTTGCTCATGTGGGTCATGTTACATAGGCCGCACAAAGCGATCATTATCCAAACGCATCTCGGAACATTATCCGGCTTGGCTCTTGAAAGGGGAGCGAAAAACAATCACGAGTTCTATACAGGAGCACTTAATCAACTGTGAACATATCGCTCCAAAAGACTCTTAGTTTAAAATAGTTTACAGAGTCAAAGGAACTGGATCGAAGGGGGGTTCGAATCAATATTTTATGCACCGCAGAGGCATTGGCAATCCACAAACTAAAGCCTGAACTTTGCGTGCAGAAACGATTTGTCCAACCTCTCATCCTTCCCTGGCCCTAATTCCCTTAATGGGTATGTTTCTAGGTGTTTTTTTTAATGCACTTTTATTATTACTATTTTGCACTTTAAACTCTAATCATTTATTATTATTACCTTTTACAAGTTTTCTTGATTATTATTCAGTCTATTATTATGACCTTTGTTGTTTTGTCGTTTTTCTTCATATCTGTCAATTGGACTATTATCTGACCCTTAAATTTTGTTCTTCCTTACCCCTTGATTAGTACGTTAACCTCATTTGTTATTTATTGTCGAATCCATTTTTGTGATACAATCCATTCTATCCTTCTATAGACATACATTTTCCATATAACTATATATACGAATGTACAGCTTAAGTAAATGATTTCGTCGAAAAGAAAATTTTCTTCGCTGAATTCTTCTTTTTCTTATTCAATGAATAGAATGTTTTTCATTTAGTTCAAAATCTTGGTTTCTAATATAAGGGGAAAAAATACTTACCAGAAACACTTGATGATGTTCGAAAATCTGATACTGGGTGACAATCAAAATTCCCATAGGCTGCAGAAATATGACTAATACAGACAGGTAAGGTAGATGGATCAATAGATCTAGAACTTTGATAGGATCCAGCGTAATCAGCTGCATGAAAGAAATATGACAAAAATATGATATATAAGTGAACTAAAATTTTGACCAAAAAAACACAGCAAAGAGTCTTCAATCAAAAAGGATTCTAAAATATAAATGAAAACAACCAAAGGTCTCTTATATTCACCAGCTTTTTTGTTTTAACTTTATAAGGATTACAGAATACTTATATGAACTAAACTATTTCCAAATTGAAGGACTACGCTAATATTTTACTAGAATTCTCTTTATAAAAATCCAAAGAAAATCCTTCTCTTATATTTCTTTGATGATTGATAATTTATCGAGACTTTCACAATTTTAGACCTAGTATGTTGTGTGCTATTGAAGTCGAAAGATATAAATAGTATGTATCATCAAACGAAAGGGAAATGTGTGGTGGCAGAAGTTTAAGATGATCGAAGAAAAGAGAATGAGAACGAAGAATGATTGATGTAGAATCAAAAGAACAATGAATTCTGAGACGATTGACTGACATTTGCAGAAGGAACATCGAAGTTTGAGACAACTGATTGACATTTTACAAATGAAGTATCTAAAAGACTAATATCTGAATGAAGAATATTCTTTCCGATAAATTCTCTTCAGGTTCTACAATTATATATCCAAATTTGTAAACTGAAAAATTGCCAGTTTTAAGGCACACCTTCCAGTGTGGCTAAGCAAAGGTCTGGTGAAGAAAGTGAACAGCTCGATATTAGCCCATCTAGTGCAAACTGGTCATAATGTCAGTATAAACCAATCCTTTTCAGTTATTTATCGGGTCAGAGAATCTTTGACAAAGCTTATCAGACTTGAAGTCCTTCAGTAGCTGTAGCGATGCGGATGAAAAAAGCAGGAGGTATGTGTGCAAAAGAAATATCTTCAATCGCTTCCCTCCGTTGTACAACCGCAACGCCAATCAATTAATAGTAATCTTAGCCATTGAATGACTAATTAGACTATTATACGTACGACCTTTTGTAGTCAAATGTAATTGTCTGTTATATTTACGCACAAATCTTTGTATTATTATTAGTAGTACTATTGGTGAAACATCATTATTAATCTCCCCAATACATGATTAATACACATCACATCCATCCCACCTTACCAAAAATATTTCTACATAATATATTCTTCCACTAAACATTTGATCGAATTGTAATTTTAATTTTGATGTTTAAATAGGTATTATTTCTCTCACCCTATCTGACCCATATTTATTCTGATCATGGATCTTAAATTTTCACTTAACGCATAAGCTGGTTCAAGTTAACATTGTATATGAGTCTTGTCAATATTAACAATTTTATTGTATTCTGTTTAACAATCCTAAATTCACATGCTTTAAACGATGCATTTTCCCCTTGACCTGGCCGTTTTTCGGATTATTAATTTAGATATATAATCATAGAACTTGAACAGAACTTATCGAAAAGAATATTCTTCGTTCAATTATTAGTTTTTTTTAAAATATGATGGGGATCTTTAAACGATTAAAATGAAGTATTTACTTTATGGTTGTTAGATTTTGTATTCAAATACATTCGATTGTACCCACTTGTGTTCTCGTCCACTACCCAGTATTAATTAAATATTTTCTACTTTTCGGTCAGTGTTTAGATGAAGAACGGGAAGTTGGACCTAAGCAACTAATATAGTGTTAGAAATTTAATTTGGACCTTATAAGTCACTGATTCGAACCTAAGTTTGTCTATCTTAATTCAAGTCAGCAAGTCATTTGCAACTTAGAATCTAACATATCCACATCAGTTCAAGCTGCCATAACATATCAACACGGCGAGATAAAATTACCAAGACAAAATTTAATGTAGTAGAATCATCAACACTATCAGCAGCAATTGAAAATATGAATATAGACGATACAACTCAGGAAAGAATGGGTTCATGAAAATAAAAAAGCACAGGACAATTTTGAAACTCGAGATTTAAGATATAACAAAAAGTGCATCTGCGCCATTGCAGTCGATTTTGAGACACATCACCCAGTCATTCATGACGATAAACACCCGGACCCCAAATTGGTTGTCTGAGCCTACCACAACGGTTCAGCCCAGCAGTCAGTGACCTCATGAATTCGTACCAACATTTGGTTTGACCACCACTAATGTCTATCAAAAAATTGCTATACCAGTTATTATTATGCGCCGATGTACGTGGTAGATAGTAGTTAGCTATATGTACTGCTTCGGTTTGGGCACCCGGGCAGTATCACAGCCCTCACACATATCGAATGAGATTTGTGTGGCGCATATGTATTTGATGCCTCCTTGTACCAATATCTATGTGTTAAAATAAATAAATAAATAGCCATATGTAACAAATGTCAGTGAAGACTTACTACCCTATAAACCGATTGCCATTTCCATCTAATACTTTGAATCTAACCTCTGCATCGTTCTAATATACCCAAACAATGTATTGAAGGGATTCATAAACGAATAACAGTAACCCATGAATATTCTCTAAGGAAACGTCTATCAGCCATAAATTAAAACAAGTTGAACGTCTGGGTAGTATACTCATCCTGTATATGGATTTCACTTATGCCATATGTAACATAAGTTCGCACAAGCCAAACAACTTATTGTAAATACGTACTGAAGTTTAGGTAGTTGCGAAATATTAAGCTAGTGTTACAGCTATGGATTTGTTCTCAAACTTTGGCAAAATTTGAAAACCCCAACGGTTTTTTCCAGAAATCTTTCATTGGATTTTATTATTTTTGAATGATCATCGTTCATATTCAAAGCAAATAAACTGACATACTTGTAGAAAAAAACTGCCCCGATATATAATGATATGGGTTCACTCGGATTATAATAATGAACACGTTCATTTACATTTTAATTAGCACCAGTATTACCATAAATTGAGTTGTGTTGTTCATGAAAATCACTGAAGGAATAGCAGTTTATAAGGTAGAATAATACAGGATATTCATTTGTAAAATGCATTACATTTAATGAACCGCAAGCAAGTCGGTAAATTAAAATTATTTATACCATGCTAACACACTTTTCATTGAATTTCAACGATGATTGCTGTCGAAGACAGGTGTTATATGAAGAAACTACAACGCTCGAGCAAAGAAAACCTACCTCTAAAGAAGTTAGATCTTCACAAATGAAAAGTTCAATAAATAGATAAGAAACATCACCGGAAGCACTTATTCAATTATATATGTTAGTAATGACACGGAACAATAACCCTACTTGTCTTTTGTCCTTCGATTACGTGCATTGTGTTGATTAGGTCAAGAAAAAACTGTTTATTTTTTCGATACCCACATATTCTCAAAGTAAACAAACAATAAACTACTCAGATATACATCAAGCATGACAGCTTACATAAAAACATAAGTTTAATCGAAGATCATATCGACCTGATTAAATATTTTTTAAAAAAACATTACCTTGGCGTGAATTGGAGTGATTGCCACCCCAATTAGATGAATCGGCACGATCGAGTTGTTGCGCTGTTAAAAAATCTCCGATAAGAATTGCTTTACTAGAAGCAGATGGATCCATGAGACGACTATCAGAAGTTTGATGAGAAAGACTTAAAGAACCACATGATGGGACAAATGAAGACATCCATTTTTTTGCTGCATCCACGCTAGTAAAATCAGACAGTTCTGATTTTGAATGTAGGTTACTTGATAAGGAAGCAGTAGATACAGATGACTTATTAACATCCAGTTTATGACTTCCGGAAGAATCAACCGTGGACGAAACAGACATCACTGATGGATCAGTATTCTGAAAACATTTTAAATTATTTTGACGTTAAATTGGATTCGTGAATTAGCAAGAAATTCAGTAAAATGTGTGAAATACATTAATGGTTAGGAAATTCATCGGTTTTCGTAATAGTAATGAGGGAAAACATAACGTAATAGCAACCTAGGAAATAACTTGAAGTTATCTAATGATTGTCATTTAATATTTTACTGAAATTTTTTTTGATATTTTTCTCTTACAAAGAAGGTAATCCAAACTAAGCCAGTTATAAAAGTAAACAAAGAAAAATTGTTTTAAAAATATGACTAAGTTTGATAAAGAATTGAATTAGCAGTTATTTGAATACCAAACAAAACAGTGAGTTATTGATTACAATACAATATAAACGTACATAAGTGAAATACTAATTAGATAACTTCTACAGGTCAAACATAAATTACAATCAAAGTATTGAATGGTTATATGAAAAATGTAGTAACAACCATACCACTCACCATTCCACAAACGCTAGCGCTAACAGCTGCAAATCGTGCAGCAGCTGCGTAAATCTCAGCTGCCGTTGTCGATGGAAAAACAATAGATGTATCTGAATTATCCGTAACCATATGACTAGAGACTAGACAACTTGGGATCACAGTTGAAATTGAAGTTGAAGGGTTTTTATTATGCTTAGAGTTTGTAATTACACTTGCCATATTAGTTGAAGTAGATTGAGAGGAACTAGGACCTGTAAATTATGGACATCATTTATCAATACAAAAATGTTTATTATCTAAAATGATAACTAAGCATGGATGATTTTATGCAATGTCAACACCAACAAGAAATCAAACAAAAACTAAACTTATTAGAAGTCCATAGAGTTACCTTTAATAAATGCAATTTAGCAAACAAGTACATATTTATGAAATCAGCTTTATGTCGTATTTTTTATAAGAACTAGTGATACTACTAAGTAACTTAAACAGAATCTGGAATTGGTACTCGAGTGTTTTTGGCGTAAGGTGTTTGCTGATCAGTAGGTACATCTACGGAGAACTTAAATGTGCGAAGTTAACAGCACTTTTTGACATAATAATTATATCAGATCATTTAATTCACAAAGCAAAACGTTGTGTTATTGTTAGAACTATGAGGTTTACTTATAATTTCTTTATATCTGAAAAATCAATAATAAAACACAGAAATATATGAAACCGAGTCAATTTGATAAAACCACTTGATAAGTTACACAGTAAAAATATGTAGAATGAGTTAATAATAGCGACACTAGTGAATCAAAGAAATCCTAACCTTAGGACAACCTATTAAATGTACAGTAATTAGCAATTTATTTTTGAAAATGAGTGTTGTTTTATTACTAAAAATGTTAAGCGATAAAACTCGGTAGAAATCTAGTGAAATCAAAATGGAGTGATGGAGATGCTAGATAAGTGACTTGAAATAATAAACAACATTTTCAGTGGGAAATATGCGAACGTACACCAATCTAATAAGCAACCCTGATATTAACAACATATTTAATGCCATGATATTATCTGTTAAAAATATAACAAAATGTTTATGTGTTTATTCGTACCTTTTACAAGTTATTAATTTATACTTATAATCTAATTTTATCGTCGAAGATAAAGTATTCGAATAAAATCCACTTTAATCAAATTTTCGTTTAAAAAAAGAATAGAGCATGTATTAAGCAACCGTACAGAAAATAGAAAAATGAAATTCCATTAATAAAAACATCTCACCTATCGAGGAGATACGGGAAGACAAAGTTTCAGTTGTGGTTACTTGATTATCACATGATGAAGGCTGAGGTAATACAATAATAATACAATACAATTATAATAAAGAAATTAAAATAACACTTACATAACAAAAGTTTCAGCTTTTAGAAAACATGCCGGCAGGATATTTTTCGGCTTGTGTCAGTCAACGGTAATAACTAATCCAAAGTTAACTGAGTTTCCATAAATAACGTAATTTAATAAGACAACTATGTGTCATACTAAAAAGTATTTCGAATCTAAAATACTAGTCGTCCGTAAGAAGAACACCTGATTCATAACTGAGTATCATCCCGCACAATGAGATGAAAATGTTTAATAGTGCTCAATAAGATTTTAAAGTTAAATAAACATATACATGATCTGAATAGAACCACTGGGTTTCTAAGAAACTAACATAATCTGCACAACTTCTGTAGCACAGTATCTATTAATACTTCTAGTCAGTAAGTCATATACAATGTATAACAATACTTATGTACGACAGCCCAGACTGATACATCATATTAGCACAACCACATAACACTAAGAAGACGTTTCTCAGAATAGTAAACATTGTAATAGTATAGGGACTTTGGGATTCAAGTTTTAAGGGAAAACGAGTGAATGCCTTTGCGCATACGCAAGAGATTCTGAGCTGCATCCAGTGATTACGATGATCACGTGGACCCTGGTCAGAAAATCTGCACTTAACCGCATGGCTCAGTTCAATAGTCAGTCAGTCAGCTAAAACGTAGGGCCAGGCAAATATATGCGTCGGTCCAAGTTGCCATACAGCATTAGCACAACAAGATGAACACCGGATTCATAGGAGTGGTTAAGTCAATGGTGGTAATATATAAAAGAAAGATTGCATATAAGGAGAAAGAATTAGTTCGTAGAAAGAAAAATATGAAATAATTATTACTTCAATGGTAGTAAGAAAAGATATCCTATTAAGATATGATACAGGGAGAAAGAATTAGTTCGTATAGAGAAAGGTATAAATTAAGTTTAATCTCACGGTTCAAGGGAGGACAAAGAGTGTATAAACCTACACCATTGTGATCGATTCTGAACCATGTCACCTAGAGTCTCCAACCATTGGTTACGATAGTCACGCGGACCCCAATCAAGTAGTCCGCATCTACCAACAAGGCTCAGACTAGAAGTTAGTGTCTTCAAGCACTGATGTCAATCCCTTGATGAACTGATCATATGTTTTGGTTTGGTCAACCTTAGCTTTCTACCAACCGCATGATGGTTGAGGACAAGTCACATGTTCCAAAAACCTCAGTTGGTGGAGATTCACCACTTCGTCAGTTGATCTGTTATTTTTACCTAGCACCTTATGCTTGATACGAGCATTGCTCACTTGGTGGCTCCAAAAAGAATGGTTCGGAGACAACTATGGTCGAACAATATACCTTACGAGTGATTTTGTTTCTTAATGGTCATACCTCATAACCAAACAGTAGAACAGAGCAATTTCCTGTGCAGTAAACTAGTCCTTTGGTTGACGGAAAAATATCTCAAATACACCACCAGTGACGAAAGTTGACAAAAGCCAATCGATATTTCTGAATCCGTGTCGAGATTTTGTCAGACACCGACGTGATTAATAGGAGATTATATTGGTATATTAACGTAAATACAGTCTTATTTCCAAAGTGGGAAGTAAGATAGATTTGTTTTTACATTTCGTAGTTAAAAAGTCAAGTTGACTAAGATATTGAAGCTTACTTTTAACAGATTTAATTATAGGTCGATTGAGAAGTATCGTATAATGCCTAAGTATCCAGTTCTGCGATGAAAATTTCCCGTTAGATAGGTCATTATTAATCTGCTGTAAATCAAAATGATTAGTCTATAAATGTCTGTGTTCTTACATTTAAGCCATTTACCAACGGCTTGTTTGAAAATAAGTAGTCTACATAAACGTTTTCAGACAATGTTTATTTCGATTAGGGATTGATATTTATTCAAAAATTATAATTGTACTAGACCCGATATGAAACAGTGGTTTAGTGAATATAACACTCGGCTTATAACTGTTAAGCCTCATATTCGACCTCAGACCACCCTACAACGGTTTGAGCAGCTGGGGGGGAGCGTGGCGTGTACTACCTATATCGACATGAGTAGTATATGACGATAGTCAGGATTAGAATGTCTGACAGAAGGAAAAAAGGGAAAAGAAAGCAACTGGTATGAAAATGCAGGAAAATGAAGCCTGAAACGACTGATTGACTTTTTGCAGAAGGAACAGTCAAAATTAAGGCAATTGATTAGTATTTTGCAAATTAAGTATTAACTGTATGGTTCTCAGATTCTAGTAAGATGTTCTGTAATTTCGATTGTTCCCACGTATGTTCTCGTTAACTACAATACCACTAACCAAAATTAATCAAACCGAGTTAACAAATATTTATTTAGCAAACGAATTACATTTGATCTTCAATTAGATCAGCGGAACTATTTTTTTCCAACCCCATTTTTAGGAAAATAAGTGTGCATGAAGACCTTCAATGGGTATATGAATTAAATAACCGTTATTTATTGTGAAATGAGATTTGAAGTCGCTGGATAAGATGAAGTGAAATGTCTTTTACTGACTTTTGACAGCTGGTGATATTTAGAGCTCAAATTAGAACTTTGATAATGCACTTAGGAAAACTTAATAGAAATATCTACATCATAATAAAGGCTTGTCTATCAAACGAAATACGATCAGTAAATACAATTGTGAAGATAAGTATTTTGTTTAGAAATTGCTAATTGTAACAATAGTTTCATGCGCTACTATTTAATATACTCAAAATAATACCTTGGTAAGATTTTTTTCAATAGCAAAGTGAATCAAATCCTTGATGCGTGTTGAAGAACTGGAAACCACTGCAGGATGTGTTCGGGGTTGAGCCAGTTTATTTGAATCAGTCACAGATTCTGCACACTGAGAATTAGCATTAGAAGAAACGGTTATCTGTTTAAAAGAATGAAAAGTCCATAAGATTTGGAACAATATTTCTTAGTGATAGTTTGTTCATCGCCGGGTAGAGACTTGGGCAGTAACATATTTTCCAACAGCATGGCAATACGTAAACATTGAACATCAGAAATTATTAATTACTAAGTTCACGTTACTGTCCTGTCCTACAGAACATAAAGAAATGTGTTAAAGCATAACATGTCCACCTACAGATGGAAACTCTACTGATTCAGTTATATGAACTTATTGGGAAGCTTTCCCCTGGAAAAAGTAAGAAAACTATTCAAATACCACTTACATGTACTCCAGGATCACTTCTTACATTATCTCCAGACCGTGATTCTTTGTCGATCGTAGGAACTAGAGTATCATGTTCAGGTACCTTGACATCTACATTCAGGGGAGAAAAAATTTCGATGTAGTCTGCACTTAAGAACGAATCGATGACAGTAACAAAGACTGAAATAAATCTGTTAGCCTGTTAGAATTACACTACTGATAAGTAACCTAAGCAATATGTAATAAAACAGATTTCAAATAATATCAAAATAGATCATAAAAATGTGTTTCATTAAATTAACACAGCTCATGATAAAACAGTCCGTCAGTCATAATCACCGTCAAACCTGACACACTTGTGTGTAGGCCCAAGTTGTCACACCATATTAGCAAAGAAGAATGAACAAAGAAGTAGATGGAACGACAGTAATGTTAGTGAAGGTGAGAAAGTCTAAACAAAGAGGATCTATTCCGAAAAAATGAAATGGAATAACGGAGTAGAAGGTATGAAATGAGACTGAAACCCTCAAGTACTGTGATCGATTTTTAGCCATGTCAGATATATGTTTAGTTGTACACAGAAATTGGTTTTGTTACCCATTATTAGAGAGAACATACAACTCCAAACCAAATACATAACAGGCGATACTAGATTAACCAAATAAACAAGGCTAACATCCACTGTTATCTATTTTTTATCAAGCCTAGCATATATACTTTTGCAAATACACAAGAACAGAGACCACTTATTACAACTTACAAAAAACATCAATTAAACATATGAGAACGACCATCTTGTTTCCATTGATGGTCTTGCATTTATCTGTTCAAACTAAAGTGTAATTTATCTGTGTTAGGAGACTTTAATTAATCAAATATATATACTTCTATGTAAAATTTAAACGTTAATAAGGTAGTTTATCCTCAGACCCATAGAGGGGTAAACGCAATCATAAGTTTATCTTATATATAAGGATAAATTTCAAAAACAACATTGTTAGCAATATTTTCGCATGTTTATAGTGTGAATTCATTGGAAAGATGTTTAATACTGTTAGATAATAACCAGATTTATTCATGCATTCTTATATGGCGAGCAACAAATACTAACATATGAAAGACAAACCACTCTTGATTACAATAAATCTCATCCAAAAGTGATGTGAAAGTAGAGAAAATCAATCTAACTACTTACATATCCAAAACAAGTATGAATATTTTCAAAAAAAACGGTACAGATGAATCTTCGACTTGTACTTACCCGAAGGAACGTGAACACTATGAGGTTCGACGTTATTTCGAGTACTGTTATTACCACCACGATTTCGCCCATGAGATCCAACATTGTGGTTATCGATATTAGAATGATTTGTATGTTGTGGTGGACGACCCCGTCCAGCTCTATTTCTTGCACTAGTACTCCCACCGCTACCACCATGATGCGTCTCTTTTTTATTATTTCTGTATCCATCAGCATCCTGAAAATAAATAGGGAAAATGCATCAGTATATGATCAGTGATCTTCAGAATATGAAGAGTAAAGAAAATATGTTTGATTGTACTACACTACCCATTGAAATTTGATCCTTAGGTATATATATATATATATATATATATATAGATAGATAGATATACATCATTGTTAATATGGTTATAAAAGATATTTAAGATGGCATTAAGACGATAAATGAGAGGGAGTATCTAAGCTGCATGTAAAACAATACTGATAAGAAAATACTGTGATAAAAAGTACAAAGCCTAATGAATAAAGTCAGGTGAACAAGAGAAGTTCGTGTATCTGGGTAGCTGCATAAGTGCTGGTGTTGGCGTGAATAATGAGATGAATTCGTGTACAGTGAAAGTCAGAGCGGTTTATGCAAACCTGGGCCATCTTTGGCGCCTTTGTAATGTTAGTCTGGCTGCAGAAGATCGGATCTACAACACGTTCTATGCTTGTGAAACCTGCCCTCTCCAAGTTGAGGATGTTGGACGACTCTCTGTGTTTGATCATCGTCGTCTCCAAAAGATTGCTGACATCCAGTGGCAACACCATTCAGTAATGCAAAGGTTCGGCATCGTGAAATAAGATACAGCAACGATAATTCATTTGGAGTCAATCACTATCTGTGATCAAATACTAGTAACATACGAGAATAATCTACTCATAATAACCACGTTTCGCAGTCGTAAAGTAAAAAAGAACGAACTACTGCGCAATATACGCATCCCTTAATTGATAGACGGATATCTCGCCTAAGCCGAAAGTGACGTAAGTCGGTAAAAGGCAAACGAGCCTTTCGAATTTGTACAGAGACTTCGTCAGACACCAAACCATTAGTGCTGATCAGACTTTCAAGATAAGTTAAGCTGTCGATGCGTTCGATCACTTCATTTCCTAAACCTAGTTCAGGCGTTGGCGCAGGCCAGTCCCGAAGCAATAATTCTCATTTAGAGAGGAAGAAACTCAATCTAAACATCCTGATATTGTTGCCTGGTGCTACCAAAAGATTCTTCATCAATCTAAGTTAGATATAAGACATTGTCCTGAAGCAAATAGTACAAGCTAAACACGGGAAATCCGATCTGGTAAACAGATCTTGATATAATTGTAACGCCAAAACTCACGAAGACAATTAGTTACAGAAACAAACGTAAGACAAATAAGTGATCAGTCCACGATTATTATCAAGAAAATTCTAATAAAAACAAATAATTCATTGAAAGCAAAGGAATAAATAGCATTCTTTCTTTGGGTAGTTCAAGTTCTAAATAAATCTTTGCGTTATCACCTAGTGGCTCATATCAATTTACGATATGGCTTACAGGGTAAAAATAAATCCAAATATCCCAGATTTAGGAACCGAGACCAAAAATAGTGAGACATTTTCAGATGCTCAAAACACAACAGTAGTCTAACAAAAGGAACCATATACTGCTTATTGATACTCCGTAGTTATCTATCTTGATGTAACCCAAATGAAGTTTAAATTCAACATCTTAAATTCGGAAGTCGATTTTTGAAGCCAAACTGAATGTAGATATTAATAAAGTATTAACGCCCGTTTAACAGCTACTTACAATGTAAGGCAAATTGAAGAATATGATGTGAATAATTTTACCTTATGCTCAGCTGTTTCATTAGATTCAGGAAACCCAGAAGAATCAGTTTGTGAATTTTTTAATCCACCTGGATCTTTTTCATCTGCTTCATTACGCTCTCCACGAGGGGAATTTATATTCGTATGCCCATTTTGGCAATTACTAGAAGATGGAGGGATCGAGTTTATATTAGTATTACTATGGCTTCCGCTACTCCCGCCAGCATTTGAATTGCTAGCAGCTCCACCAGCACTACCGCCCCCTCCACGTTCAGTCTGAGCTGCTCGGCGTCGACGAGCATTATGCTTCTTCAACAGCTGTTTATAACCTTCTTTCTTTTTGGATAAATAGTAATAGTGGATACAGTCTGCAACAGATTTCCGCTCTAGGTATGAAGCTATCGAAGTAAAATTTTTAGGAGTGGCTAAATAGCGTTCTTTAAATATTTGCTTTTCTTCTTCCGACCACTTCGACAGATCTTGATTTTCTTGGAGCTGAGCACGACAATCTGTGACTAAACCTGATTCACATATGAATTGATATCGACGCTGCCAAGGTGCAAGCATAACTGGAGGATCAATCGCATATTCCTAGATACACAAAATTATTATGACATACAATTTCGAGGAAATCTTGAACGTAATGATTATTGTAGGAATGTGTAAAAAATAATATAACACATTAATCTAGCTATGAAAATACATATGCTATAAAGAAAAACATGGAAAAGACTATATAGTTAAGTTATGCTATGTGATTTTACCAACAATCGTTATTTTGATCATAAAAGCCAGATTGGAGTGTTTGCTCAACTGTTAACTACAGTTTGATTATGATGCAACATGAAGAAATTTAAAGATGGCCACAACACGATAGACTCAAGAGGAATGTTATCAACTTAATATACTTATGTTTTACAACTGCAGCTGAAAAAATCAGTTGGTGCTAATCCTTGATTATTCGTTATGTACAGATTTTAAAGGGATAAAACATTAGTTATTTTTTCTAAAGTGGCTCAAAATGTTTCAGTGGCGCAAACGCGTTCATTTCTTTTCTTTCACTCTATATTTTGTGTTTCACTATTAGTTCTTACATTTTATTCGAACCATATTCACCATATATTTAGTCTTACTGTTGACTGATACTACTTTCATTCCAACTCCTTTACCATTCACTTACTCTATTTTAGGTCAGTGTAATGATCCAGTGTGGCAATTTAAGCACATGGATATCTCTTCCAAATCATACGTTGCTAACGTTAAACTAAATAATCGAAGTCACATAAAAATATCATGTGTGTAAGATATTATGTTCTCTTTTATTACGACCTAGCCACTCTTATTGCTTAGTATTCTTGGACACTGTACTTTCTCGATAAGTCCCCAAATCAGAACACGGTTGAACAGGAACGTAATGATATTTCAAATAAACAAGGTTGGATATAAGTAGGAATCACAATAAAAAAACGTTAGTAAATTTATAATTTTACACAATATTCAAGAGTCTTCCTCAAGTATCCACTCAGGAGGGGTTAGCTAAATGACCAATCAGCGTATCCCAACACCATCCTGCACGGAAAATGCTTTAACTCAATCTATTTCCCGCTAACAGATATATTCGACTATTTTAGAGTAAATATAAGTGATTTATCGGGTATTGAACAAATAACTAGCGACTGCACTTCAACTTACAAACAGACAAGGTAACCCAGTTATCAAATGTTTTTAGCCACATTCACTTTAGGACAAACTGTTTATTATGGACCAAGAAACGTCAGATTATTTTGCCGTATCAGACGATGACGAAACTTGTATTACCAGAATCAAAGGGAAATTGTAAATAATTATCTAATCAAATACCTTAAATTCACCTATTTGGACATATGCATCGTGCTAAGACAAAAGTATCATCAGCATTACAGTCTATGTACAAAGTGACCAGTGGAGTGGAAATTTCACACTTAGTAGTTTTGACAGATTTACATCGAAAATAGTTAAGGAATGAGAGATTCTGGCTATAAAATAAACTTTAGTATTAACTTCTGAATATCCTTAACGACGTAATCTTAGTGACCTTAACAAATAAAAATAAATTACTCTAAAGACTATAGTTTGAAGATTATTTATAGGAAAAAAGAGAAACCGTTTATTAAGAAATCACCTTTAATTTATTCATCTCTTCGATAGCATCGTAGGGAGTAGTCTGAGAACCATCAGTTAGGTTAGAAACCCCGCCAGAATCTTTTTGGCAAACAAAGCAAATAGAAAGACACAGAAAAGTTTATTTAGTGAATGAATACAGAACCCGTTTGAAGGAAGAATTATTCAGAAACGAATCATTACAAAGGTCGGACTTCATAATTTCAAATAAATTGAGCGTTCGGTAGAGTCTTAGTAATAAAATATTTTTTGAGAGAAACTAGAATTTCTGACGTTTCGTGTGAGACACTTCTTCATAATAAATAACTAAACGAACACGAGTTTGAACAGTATGGTGGAATAGGCAAAATATTTAGTTAACTCAAAATCTAAATAGGTCTGATTACGTCAATGTCATATATTTCTTGGTCTAGGTGATTTTGTGTGAGATCACCGTGTATACTTGTGAGTATACTAGATGAGAAGTAGAGTTGAAATTTGTATGCATTTATGTGCATTAATGGTCTGAAAAATGAATAGAACTAAATGTGGTTGTTTGAAAACATGGACCAAATTGAATGGATAACCATACCATTCCTCTAATTGAGGACAGAGGAATTAAAAGTTATACGAAACGCTTTCTAATCGGAAAAACTATTCTGAATTATCTTGATATTTTTAATACCGATTTGGTGGTTATTGAAAGCACACTAACAGTTCCTCAAAAAACAGGAGCACAATCAGAAATAAACAGGTCTCCATCCTAACTATTGGTATTACTAAGATGAAAAAGTGGCGCTAAGCAGTTGGATACTTGAATTTTCGTCACGATCTGACCTTTTGTTTGTTTATTTATACCTCATTATGAAAATGAGTAAACTTATATTTCAGCAAGGGTAGATTTGTACTCACGGCTTTAAACCACGCCATAAGAGAAGTAGTGATTTAGTGGTTAAGGAGCCCAAATTTCAGCTACTAAGTCGTAGGTTTAAATCCCACTTTATCTAATTCAGTTTGGGCAACCGAGAACTATCACTAGTTCTCACAACTGAAGAGTGAACCGAAGCCAAGTACAACAATAGATACATGATAATGGGTTAATAATAAGACTCATCACAATAATGTTCACCTAACAAGGTTAAAAATACATAAGTTCAAGTCAATAATAAAAAACCTTATCATAAGATTTTGTGTGATATGATATAAAACAAGCACAAACTAATTTAACAAAAATAAACATACCGTCCTCGATCCCTGGTTTAGTGTATTCCGTGTTTCCCATCTCCCTGTCTTCGCGATTTTTTTTAACTTCCGGCATCGCTTTCTCAAAAATATCTCGATGACGAAGATCACGTTGACGACGTTTGGTCGTACTGAGTAATTTGTCCATCTTTTTGGTAAATATCTGTAAATAAATAAGCACATTATATGAATAATTAAAACACAAGGTTAAGCACTGCGCATCGTTAATTATACATATATCTTAAAAATCATATTTACCAGTTACGAACAGGAATGATCAAGGTGTATACGATGTATAGTAAGCGGGATGTAACAATCACTTTAAATAATTTGGAAAATCCAACTTACAACATTAATTACAATCACGTTAGAATAAAATTATTCCGTACGACACAATTTATTATGAAAAAAATAAATATATGTGTCCAAACAGAAACGGTACAAAGGATTCACCGTGCCGACTGATCAGCATACGATACAGAAATACAAAGAATTCAACTCTATGACAAAATATAAGCATATTTAATCCACAGTGATATCTCAATTCTACTAGGGTTATGTTGATACTTAGTCGTAATATTATTTTATTAGAAACGCTATACTACTGAATACCCGCTTATAAAATCGATTATACGACGCTCATAGGATGTATGAACATACTCTAGAATTTCGTCCGTATTGTTGAGCCAAAAAACTGATACGACTTTGTTCAGCACGGAGACGTCTTTGAAGATAAACAACAAGTTTTGGACGGAAATGGTTGCGAAAGTTGGATTGTATAGCCCTTACACTTGATAAGTCGGATGGTTGGCGATAAAATGGCAGGGCATGTGGTCCAGGTCGAACTTTGGGACCACAAAGTCTTGTGAAAATGAGATGACGCTGACGAGTGCGTTGGCGGTTGTCAGAAATAATTGCCTGAAATCAAAAGAGCACGAAATTAAGAAATATAATTCGAAGGCAACGAAAATAGTTTGCATCTGTAAATAAAACACCAGCTAGTTTTACTGCCATATGAGACTATAAGAGTGAACAATAACTGATCCATCCTCCGAATTAGCATGGCAACAGACACGTATAATCACTTTTAAAACTGAACCTAGTGACCTCAAATTTTGTTTTAACTTCACCATAAGTAATGGAACACAAAGTTTACTTATTAATGATTGATAATAAGTAACTCTCGTACTTCAGCTTATAGACCTTACATTTGTTTTTAGCACGAAATGCTCGGTAATACAATTTACATAAAGTTACAAAAGTATTACCTGTATTGGGTTTTCGTAATTTCGTTCGAAACCGGTTTTACAAGTGAAAGATACTTCCGGAACAGCAAGATCCCCTTTATCTGATTTACTTTCATAATCGTTACCGTTCAAATTATTGTTCGATGTATCGCGTGCAGGTGCTACCGCAAGTCGAGCTGTTAGACGAGCCTCCCGTTCACACAGATTTCTTAGATGTGATTCTTGTTTATTAATATCAGCATCTAATACTGTCAGTTGACGGTTAATTTCTTCCCTTTCACGATGAAGCTTTGCATCTTGGGCATCCACTAGACGAGACTCATCAGGAGCAGGGGATATGGCTTCAACCTAAAAAATATTCATAAACAGATTTGCAATATCTACAGAAAAAATGAAAAGAACAACCAATTGTTTACTGATTAGTACCTATAGGCGACTTAATAAGGAGCTTGATGGTAAAGAATGGAAACTACTATAACATCCGTGCTGAAATTCACAGATAGTTATAGAAACTGGAATTAGCTACATAAGTATGTGTTCTAATAAGCATAAAGTAAGAAAGCCATATTATTATGAGGTAAGAAGCTGAGATTATTCATTTACTACATCGGCATACGAAGAAAGTTAGGGGTGGTCGAACCAAAACGTGGCATCAGTCCTTGAAGTCACTTCCTTCTGGCCCGAGCCATGTTGGTAGATGCAATGGTTGGAGACTCTAGGTGAAATGGCTCAGAATCGATCACAATAGCGTACGTGTATACACTATTTGTCCTCCCTTAAACCGTGAGATTAAACTTACTTTATACCTTTCTTTATATGAACTAGTTCTTTCTCCCTGTATCATATCCTTATATGCAATCTTTCTTTACATATTACTACTAACTAATTCTATGAATTTGGTGTTCATCCTGTGCTAATGAGTTGTGGCAACTTGGACCGATAAATATATGTACATGGTCCACCGCTGTAGCTGACTGATAGTTTCATGACTGGTAGCAAAATTCTATAACCTTGGAAAACGTGTTTTTAAATCAACAACGAACACTTATATTACTTGGGACTGTGGTAAACACTAATTTAATTTTTAACGTTACCGACAACTGTGATGATCAATTTAACCATAGTAAAATAATCACCTGGAAATGAGAATTAAGTGAAGCAAATTTCACTTTATATCCACAGTCAATCTGAATTGATGTATCTAGCAGTGATTTAACAAATAACATATATTATAACACCTTCATAAATTTAATAATACCTCAGAGGGGTACAGGGAAAATGCAATGAAGATCCAAGAGAAAATAAGTGCGCACGCAGATGAATCAAATTCTTAAAATTTCTCCACGTCATATTACTTGAATTATATCACAATTGGCGAATTTTAACTCTTCCTATAGCTCTTTTAGGGTCACCGATGGTCCCAAGCCCAGGTAAAGGAGGAGGGTTGGGTATGGGGTCAGCAAACGCATCCTATAGAAAGCAACCTTGATAAACAACGCTAACCAGAATAAGCACGTCAAACTATTTAAACTCTGTCCTCCGGTTTGAAGGATCTTCATTCAAAAGAATTACGACGCCTCATAGTGAAGGCCGATACTCTTCGGAAGTCATGAGACTGATCCTCCTAACATGGGAGGTGAGTAGCTGAGAAGATCGCCAACATCATCCGCAATTCATACGACGGACTAAACTGCAAAGTCGTGCATTGAGAGCAGTTTATAGATGCATTCCAAATGAGTACCGGAGTCAGACAGAAGTGCTCACTCTCACTATTTCTCTCTTCTAGTGGTTGACTGAATTACGGAATACAATGGACAGATTGGATGCAACTAGATGATTTGGACTCTGCAGATGACATAGGTCTTTTATTTCATACACACCAGCAAATGAAGGTCAAAACAACTAGTGTAGCAGAAGACGTTGCATCAGTAGGCCTCAACATACACAAGAGAAAAAACCAAGATCATCAGATACGACACGGAGAACACCAACCCAGCCACACTTCATGGAGAAACTCTGGAAGAGATGGAAACCCATTTACCTGGGTAGCGGCATCTTCCATGAACAAGGAGGATCGGACGCAGACGTAAAGGTAAGGATTGGTAAATTAAGGGAACCATTCTTACAGTTGAAGAACATATGGAACAACTGTCTGCAAGCCAACATCAAAGTCAGAATCCTCAACACGAACGTCAAGGCAGCTCTGTTGTACATAGCCTAAACTTTGAGAACTACCACAACCATAATCAAAAACATACAAATGTATATAAACAATTGTCTAAGCAAGATACTCAAAGTTCTTTGTTGGTTGGATATCATCAACAACAGCCTATTGTGGCAGAGAACAAACCAGCTTCAAATGAAGAGGAAATTAGGAAAAGATGTTGGAAGTGGATAGGACATACATTGGGGAAGTCACCAAACTGCTTCATGAGGTAATCGCTAACTTGGAATCCCGAAGGAAAACGGAAAAAAGGATGGCCAAGGAACACATTGGGCCGAAAATTGGAGGCAAATATAAAAAGGATCAATAGCAACTGGAAAGGATAGAGTTGAACGGAGATTGTTGGTGGGTGGTTTATGCTCCTACATCAGGCGTAAGTTGAGAATTCGGTTTCAAACTGTAAAGCTGGTTGTCGACAGTATGGTAAATTTCCAGTCGGTTTTATCAAGTTATAGTGTACGCATAAGGTTAGCTACGTGTGAGGTCAAGTGCCCGACGGTAGCTGCTACCTTGACGCGGTGGCGGGCTTGCCTATCGTGATGACCCGACCGAGCTATATTGGCTAGAACATATGTTCCTGAAAGTTCTACCATGCCAGGCAGGTCGACTGACGAACGGTAAGACTAAAAGCAGCAACTCGGGGTCTGAGGGCGAAGTCGTACTGCTGACTGTAGAGGGGTGTGACAACAATAAGGTGTTTCCCTCGGACAACCAGCAACTGCAGCGATGCTGTCTTCTCACAAGGAAGGGACTACAAAAGGTTGATCCCAAAAATGTCACACCTCACCTTACCTCACGGATTTCCGTCTCCGGCGGTAAGGTCCTTTGAAGAACGGAGCTAACACATTAAAAACCTCCAACAAGAGGACCGTGCGCGACCGGCCTCAAGCAGTTGTCCCTTGGGCTCTGCGGTCACGCTCCCAGGTCGTTAAGGCCAACATTAATACAACTTCCTTTTCAGGTTCCTCAAGAAATACCCTTCCACGGTGTGGGCAGCCGGGAAGCGATATCAGCCCACATACCCGTAACAACACACGAGACCAAGTTGGTCACATTCAAATCCTTCCTACATCTCTTAATAACTCTCTTATCTCCACGAATAACCCTTCTCACGTCCCTTTATCACTTCGCACCGCTAGGGCAAACGATTCGAGTACGCGGGACGTTATTCCTGGTCTCCTTAAACCACGCTCCAAACTACATGTAGGAGCTTTTAACGTCCGAACACTGTGCCAAATAGGACAACAGGCTTCCTTAGCTAGTCTCGCGCCATCGATATGTGCTGCGTCTCCGAAACGCGCATACAGGATCCGAGTAGCGTCATTCATTTGGCATCACCATGTCAAAATAAAGAACCAACTCGATTCACGCTTTGTGTATCTGGAAGCCCTGATGCTGCTTCCCTTGGCCTCGCTGGCGTAGGTATAGCATTGAGTCCTAGGGCAGAACTAGCTCTCTTAAAGTGGATCCCAGTAGACAGCCGTTTGTGCGCTGTCCGACTAAACGGAACAGTAAGGACTTGGAAAGATAAGGACACTCGTCATTGCCTTTTCGTCGTCTCTGCCTACTCTCTTATTGACTGCAGCTCAGATGATGTAAAAGATGAGTTTTACAGAAAGCTTTCGGACCTTCTCCGAAAAGCTAAGCGCTCGGATGTAGTAATAGTGGCCGGTGACTTTAATGCTCAAGTAGGTAAACTAAGCGATAGGGAAAGACACCTAGGTGGATCTTATAGTTTCATGGCTCAAAGAACAGATAATGGCGACTGTCTGTTGCAACTATGCTCAGATAAGCTATAGGAAATCTGAAGCGAGGGAGAGCAGCAGGCCCTGACAGCTTTACTTCCGAGATTTTTAAGGACGGTGGTCCAGTATTAGCAGTGAGATTAACTGAGGTCTTAGGTAGAATTTGGGAACTGGACGTAATCCCATCTGACTGTTCCCAATCACTGATTGTGCCAGTTTTTAAGAAAGGACAAAAGTCCTCTTGCAACAATCACAGAGGAATCAGTTTGACAAATATAGTGTCTAAAATATTAGCTTCAATAATACTTCGACGCCTAACTAAAGCTCGTGAAGAGCAGACTAGAGAAAATCAGGCTGGTTTTCGACCTGGACGTGGTTGTATAGATCGGATATTCACACTACGTCAGGTCCTAGAACATAGAAACACATCCATACGCCCCACAATAGTAGCACTTCTCAACCTGAAGGCGGCATTCGACTCTGTTGATCGTGAGGTTCTATGGCATTGTTTGTCACTGAAAGGAGTACAAAAGAAGTACATTAACCTTATAAAGGCTCTCTACTCGAACACAACTGATCGAGTGAGAGCTTATGGCGAACTGTCATCAGAATTGATTACCTCAAGTGGTGTTCGTCAGGGCTATCCACTCTCTCTATTCTTGTTTAACTTTGTCGTTGACGTGCTTTTAGAGATGATACTTTCCTCATCTAAACTTCTAGGAGTTGAACTTTTACCAGGAGATTTACTTATTGACTTAGAATATGCCGATGACATTGTCCTATTTGGTGAAGACGCTGACAAAATGTAAAGTCTTCTGACCACTCTAAGCAACAATGCAAGCATGTTCGGGATGCGATTCTCCCCCTCGAAATCCAAAATGTTGCTTCAGGATTGGGTTGCATCGGCACCCGAACTAATGATAGGGAGTGAAGTAGTTGAGCGTGTCGATCGCTTAACTTATCTGGGAAGTCTCATCAGCCCTTGTCAGTCAGTCAGTAACAACGTAAAACTTGTGGTCTGGTCTGTGACGAAATCTCAGCACGGATACAGAAGGTTCGACTAGCTTTTGCCAACCTGCGTCATTTATGGAGTAGGCGAGATATCCGTCTATCAACCAAAGGATGGGTTTACTGCGCAGCAGTTCGTTCCGTCCTACTTTATGGCAGTGAAACATGGACGGTAAGAGTAGAGGATATCCGTAGGTTACTAGTATTTGATCATAGATGTCTTCAAAACATTGCTCGTATATCCTGGGACCATCGAGTAAGTAACGCAATTGTTAGGAAACGGGTACTAAGTAAGGATGGCAAATCAGTTGATGAAGTAGCGAGACTTCAGTTGAGATGGCTGGGACACATGTTACGTATGCCCAACCACCGCCTGCCCCGACGTGCGATGTTTTATGGTGTAGGAGTAGGTTGGAAGAAAGCTGGGGGCAGCCGGACCAAAACATGGCACAAGTCCATGAAGTCACTGACAAGTGGACTGAGCCATGTTGGTAGGTGTAGACTACCTGGTTGGGGACCGCGAGATGATAGCAACCGGCCCCCAAATTCCCTGCTAGAGCCGAGAGTGAGTAGGGTCCTCTCTCCCTCTCGAGATGCTCTCACATGGCCACGCGTATATAGCCCCTGTCAGGGAAGTTCTTCTCATTGCCTTCTCGTGGCGAGGTTGTTGTTTACGAAATTGAGAGAATGAAAAGCGAATGTCCAGCGCTTTAACCGGATTCCAAACCAATGGTGCACATGGGCTCCAGTATCCTGACCGGACAAATGGCGTATGAACCAATCGTTGGTCACCGGTTACCATGGGACTGCATCTCCTCACGATGCTCCACTGCCTTGTGGGTTAGACCTTCAGGTTGAAGGCTCCGGGTGTGGCCCCCTAAGAGAACCACCTGCTTCGGTCTGGGCACCCGGGCAGTATCACAGCTCTCACACATATCAAATAAGATTTGTGTGGCGCATATGTATTTGGTGCCTCCTTGTACCAATATCTATGTGTTAAAATAAATAAGTAATAGCGACTGATGGTTAGAGACCCTGAATGACACGACTCAAAATCGTTTGCAATGGCGCAGGTGCATCCACTCTTTGTGTTCTCCCAAATTCTAATCTTCTGAATTCTTCATGTCCCTTTTTTCCTCTTTCCAAATGTATTTCACTGGATTATATTCTTTGAATAACATCTTCAAACCCTAATCTTTCCGATTACTGTTTATACTTTTACTACCTCTATCAGTACGGGATTTGAATTGACAATTGTATCTGTGTGCTAATGTGGTATGGCAACTCGAACTGATGTACGTACGTACGAAGTTCTACGTTTTTACCGACTGACTGAGCTCAAGTACATAGGAATAAAAAATCTTCACATGAACCTAAGAAACGTCAATATTCCCGACATAAAAAGCTTTGAAACAATATTACGAATTTGGGTTAAATAAAAATTCACTGAAGTAGCAGTCGTACAAAAAAACTGGCGAAATCTAATTTTAAAATATCAGGAAACAAACACGTACCTGTGGGTGATAAGCCGGTTCTTTAGTCTGCTGTCGAAGTACACCACTCCCTTGAGGGAGATTAGAATGCCCCATCACATGATGTTGAGAACCTGGTTGTGGTAAAGGATGATTTGACTGGTGGAAATTGCCTTGACTAGGATGAGTAGCAGCAGGTGGATGATGAAGATGGCCAGAAATCAGGCGAGAAGGGATTTGGGAGACTGATGTTGGATGTGATGCTTTCGCTGGCATATGTGACAATGGAGGCTGACTAGTTACAGTTTGTGATCCCAAGACAGGTGCACTAACTAGGGCTTGCCCGGAAGTTATCGCCTGGGTAGACGCAGTTGCATGAGGAAATGGTCTGTTATTGTATGAGGTTAGAAGTGAACCAGGTAAGGTACCCATCAGTGAACCTGGATACGCCGAACTGGAAGATGGCAAAACATGTTGTTGGTTGAATAAATGAGTGCCAGAAGTTGAATTACTACCGAATGAACCATGATGTTGAATATGCGGTTGATAAGCAGCTTGATTTGGAGTGACGACAGATGATGGGTTCGATAAGCTACTATTATTAATGGATGTATAAAAAGGTGTGAGGGCTGCTGCGGCTGCAGCGGCAACTTCTGTGGCTGCAGAATAGGCGTTTGGATTAAGAAAGTTAGAACCAGCTGCAATACTTGCCATCGCCTTACTAGCAACAACACTCCCCAACAAAGCTTCCATCTCAGCTGGTGCAATTGTATTTGTTACATGAGCAGAAGGTAATGATGAAATGGAGTGTGGTAGTTGGGATCCTAAGGAAATACGAGGTCTTTTGTTTGGATGAGTTGAAGGGGGGGCCAGTTGTGAACGACGATTCTGAAAATGTTTGAAGCGTATAAAAAGACGAAAACTGAGTAGCCTAACAATTAGTAGTTAGAACGTCATTGAAATACAAGGTAAGACGACAATCAGACATAGAACTATGTGTCAGCTGTTCAAGTAGCAGAAAAAAAATCCTGTATATACCACATATAGCATTTACACAGGTCTAATGTATAAATCAGCAATTGGAAAGATATGAAGGTTGTTGTATGTAAATAACAGTACAAAATGTAGCTGAACACCTGATCCACTGAAAAGGGAATGAATATGTCTTTTCGACACGTAACTAACGCAACAACTTGAAGTTTTGTACCAACTTAACTAAGATGTAATCAAAAATGATTGGATGTGGGGTGATAAGGTTCAAAATATCGCAATGGTTCAGATGTACACATCCTTTATTCTCCTCGAAACCCTGAGTTTCCATGCCTTTTACTCCCTCAATGTTACTCTTTCTATGTGATGCTTCTTGTTATAAACGAGACCACTACCATAATGACTGCTCTGCTACAAATCTTTCCTTCCTGTGTGTGCACTGATGTAGTGCAGTAAGTGAGGGCTATGCACATTTATGCCAATTCGTAAACTGCTTATGATTGACTGAACACACTGAAAACAATAAGTATGTCTGATTAAGATAGGTTTTGAGTGTAGCAGAAAGAGAGAGAAAAACAGTTGATGCCACTTTTAACTAACTTTTGTTGTTAAAGTAAATCTCGTTACAATTTTGGATATCGAGCAAACAACACTTGACAATCATATGATAAAGGCTATATGTCAGAATATATCAGATAACTCCTGATAAGATTATAGACAAATTTATTAGTATCTGGACTACTGTGAAACAACAATTTTAGCGTCAAAATCATTATATCCGGCGACGTAAATGTTTCGCTAATTCTACAACTTAGGTTAACTTTACTTGTTGACTAGAAGGGAATTTTGAAAGATATTTACAAAAATATATACATTCTATTTTTAATTGTTACACCTTACAGTTAATAAAGGATCAGTAAAGAATATTTCAATTATTGCCTTGGTGATACCTACGAAAAAAAACACTAACTTGGTAAATATTGCTTCCAGGACTGGGTGATAGTGATGGTGAAGCCCTTGTCTGATGATGTGCATTGTGCAAATTATGATCTAGATGTGAAGTAATTGGCTGTGATGGACTGACGTGAGAACTCATTGTCCCGAATCCTGAAGGACCTGGATGACTTCCGCGATGATGAAGGACAGCCTGAGATGCTGAAGCTGGACGAGCTAAAATAAAAATTAACCTTTATGCAGTCAGTTGAATTTAACCGTAACTGTCTACAAACAAAACTACATAGCAGTCAGTCAGTCATCTACGATGTAGAACCAGGCACACATAACACACCACGACAAAACTTTAAATCATGCCAGTTTATTCAAACTGTGATGATCGTACCAGAACATAGAATTACTCATAGAATCAGAAACTAGGGACAATAAATAGATCTTTCAGTGTGGGAATTCATAATCGAGCATATCAGTTTGAAATTCTGGATAAATGGTTATATAAGATTTAAATAGACGAAGACTAAGTAAAAAGGATGCACTGTGACTCAGTAACTACGGAAGCTGTCAAGCGCCTGTAGCCACCGAATCCGAAAACCGGCAAAGTACTTCGAACCAGCTTCACTCACAAACAATGATCTTTTTGTCTAAATTTGGTTTTTTTTTCAACTCTTAAACTTACATGTAACCTTAGTGAGGTAGAATATATGTTCTGAATTATTTAGAAATCTCTGTGTAAACAAGTGTGTATTGGTATGACTGAGTGCTCAGTATACCGAAAATGAATCCTAATTACCTTGCTCGGTAGTATATACACAAATTTATCAGAGACTATATGAGCAACTTGTGACGTTGTCAATGGCATCGAAAGTGATGTAATGATGAAATTACAATAGCCATGATAGGTTTTTTTTCGATAGACACCAGCTCCTAAAACGTAGCTTGCACGGTTCATGAAGCTTATAACATTGTTGAGATAAAAACACCAGTAACAAGATCCACATGAACCACACAGAAGTCAGTAAAGTACTTGGTCATAATACATATGCGTAAGTTAAGAATAGCTCTAGAAAAAAAGAGTAACATCTTATCATAACAGATGAAAAACATAATAGCTATTATTGGCAACACTTACTACCAGATGTAGTTGAACCCATTTGAATAGGATGTCCTGAGTGAAACTGTGACTGACCACTAGGGGGGCGTTTTTGGTTCCCCTGATGCATAGGTGTTTGAACTGAATGAACCGGCAATCGAGGTGACTGTTGAGAGCTGTGAACACTGAGAGGAATAGTAGGAGATGATGACTTCGATACAGATGTAACAGCCGCTAGAGTCTGTGCAAATGTAATTCCTGGGACGTGACCAAGTGTTGAAGTTCCTGAAGCAGTTGGACCAACGGAACGTTGAATTTGTTGCTGTTGTTGATGGTAAGCAGCCGCCAAAGCGTTGAGTTGTGACTGACTTAGATGGCTACAAATCTGTGCTGCAGCAAGCATATCTTCCGGAGTTAACAACCCTGCATGAGGCCCAGCTGATGTAATACAAAGTTCAAAGATATAAACAAGATTCGATTGATAACCTTGGATACTTATTTCAAGAAATCACACAATCACTAAAGACACATATAGATCGAGACAATTTTACAAGCCTAATGGTTAAACTTACTACACTCTTCAATTGTAAGAGATTAAAGTTAAAACTGTAGCGAAATAAGCGAGAAAGAAATGGATAGGGAACAGCACGTCAAGGATTTAAAGTTCAAGAGTGATTAAATGTGTTATTTCGAAATGCTTCAATGCCATAGGATTTCTAACAACCGATTTCCATCATGGTGAAGATCGCATTGAAAACGTTCACCTCTGACTACACAAACTTTCCATTTATTTCAGCTATTACTGTACATTGGGATGTCAGAAAATGGATGGTACTGTACTTGTACTAGTTAAATGAATTACAGACATAGAACTAAACGTTAAAACACCTCATTTACATTCAGCACATATCCAGAAGCCCTTGAGGACAAACTGAAATTTTTGAATAAGATTTAAGTAAGGAATCGATGATGAGCAACACAATAAGCGAGATTTTTGACAAGCAGTTGGTGATCTGGGTAAGATGAAACATTCAGCAAAACTAGCAATTTGTAGCTACTAGATTTCTGAACTTTCTTTACACCTAACATGTGATAGTGTATCCTGGCAAACTAACAGTATAACAATATATAAGCCCTTTTTATAGAAACTTTCAGTGAGAACTTAGGAACTTTAAAAGCCAGTGGTTAGAACACGACGTCGATATATGCGTAACATCCTCGCCTTGTGAATATCAGTAGCTTTCCCACTTCACCCGAACCAAAACCAGGTATAGGTGAAACAATCTATCAAATTGATGATACGAAAAGAACAATTCAGAGCTTCCTTTGGAGGTTTGTGGCACACCTCCCAGGACACTAGTCGGGTTGTCTAAAGTGACATACACCAGTCTGAAATAAACTGGTTTTACAAACCTATCTTTAAAAAACCTCAAGATGCCCTGGTACAGCCAAGATTGAGTCCGCTCTTCTTTCCGAAATCCTCTTACATTACCACGCGTATACAGCCATCTCCAGGCAAGTCCTATTCACTTGCGGAGGGGGTTATTTACTTCATTTGAACACATAAACGTTGTTACAAGGGGGCACCAAATGTATATGCACCACACAATAACAATGAGGCCAGTAGCAGCTATTATTGGTTCGTGTGAGGTCTGTTATACTGCCCGGGTGCCCAGACCGAACCTGAGGGTGTTGTTTACGAAGTCGAGAGGACGAAAAGCGAATGTCCGGCGTTCTAACCGCGTTGATAGATATGGAGGATTCACTTAGGGGATTGGAAAACCTCTATTCCAAATCAATGGTGCGCATGGGCTCCAGAATTCTAAGGGGACAAATGATGTATGAGCCTATTGTTGGTCATTGGCTACCGAGGGACTGCATCTTTGAACGTTGCTCCACTGCCTTGTGGGTTAGACCTCTATATCGAAAGCTCGAAGAGTGGCCTGAGAAAATCACTTGTTTCGGTCTGGACGCTCGAGCAGTATTCCAGCCGTCACAAATTGAATGACGAAGGGGGGTGTGTATATATTTGGTGCCACCTTGTATTAATGATTAAGTTAATCTTCAAAAAAGCATACATACTGCATGTGATTATCGCATGCATATATTCCGACACCCCAAACATTGACTTCGTCATATTGCACAGATTTTGCGAAATGTCTACAGATGATTTTGTTTAAAGAGGGTATAGGCGCACCACTACAGTTCACAATGTCGCTACTTAACATCAGGTCAGTTTTGATATAGTTGGTCAGGATTGTTTTCCAAAATGTTTAAGAGGAAAGTGAGTTGATTAACATATCGAAAATACTTGATATATACGCACTTTGTACAGGAAATATCTGAACGCATTTAGTCGTTATTTACGAAACTAGCAGTGAGGTTGTGCATAGTCGATCACTCATACCTCTCTGAAGGCTCACCCATCACATCATGTGAGTGACCCAGAAGTGCATAGCAGTGAAAATCATTTACCCAAAGATGTCTTGTTATGCTTGGCTTACACGCTACTGAAATCAATCCTTTGTAAACACCAGGTTAAATAACTTCAACAGGGCTAACAGGAACATGTATCTGCATTTACTCTCGGTAGTTGGCCTTCTAAACATAATCGAGCTCATCCGCACAGGTAGCTGCATAAACGCTGGTACCCAATGTAATTTGACACATAAGCTGAAGGTTATCGTGTTGAAGCATTCAATCACTCCTAAACAGGAAGACAAGGTTACGCAGTAAGCGAAATCTACTTGTTGTTTATATACAAACTATGTTTTTAATAATGAGCTCTCGTCTCTTCTTTTATTCCTTCAAAACTAATTTTGTTTTATGCTGATTCATTTTCCCTACAAGTAGTAAGACCAGATAATACAGCTTAAAACTGATGGAATGGAAATGCTGTCATCCAACTATCCTAAAATAAGCGCTACCGTTAAGGACCAGCAACAATGCGTAAACAGTCACAACATTACGTATTTTGGCATCTCATAACTACCCACTGCACTTCCGCCAGATGTACATAATTCCTGACTAATGTAAGAAACAATCGCCAGAAGTCCCACACCGCTTGAACTCTGCAGATCATTAGACTGATGGATCCGAGAACAATACATTGGGATAACAAGTGTAAATGACTAAATAACCATCTACACAAACGGTTTGCTCAACATGTAATAAGACACCTAGAGGGGTTAGGACGGAACCTAGGATTATATGATGTATATTTCGTGACGTCAGTTTTATCAACACTAAGTATCTTCAGTTACTCCGAGTCGAGGCAAGTTTTAGAGCCAAATGAAAAGCAAGCTACCATCCAACTAGTGTTGAAACTTATGAAGCAAAACTCCGAACTAACCAAACTACTTGATAAGTCATCCTAAGATAAATGGTCCAAACAAACTGCATAAATCTGTACTGCCACTGAAGATGTGAATCAAGGTCGTGGAATGACAGGACACAAGCTGTATGGCACAATGTTACTAGTCTGCATACCGTTTGTTGAGTCGTTCTACATTTCTCCAGTTACTCTGCCAAATCTATAGAATACCCTCCCCTAATATCACACATACAGGACAAGCACTAACACGTAACAACCGTATTCGACATCTTTACTGACTGGAACTTAAATATTTGGCATTCAGAGAAGATATACATATATTTTTCGTCAGGCAAATTAAGATAAACAAAGAACTTACTTGTGAGCACCGGACCTCCACTTGGAAAACTATCAGACCTTCCATTCCGATTAATACTACTGGTATAACCCTGTTCAGGGCTGGGGGCAATCCGCGAACCTGGTGGTGGGGCGTTCGAGGGTAAATGATTTTCGGATTGTAAGCGGGATATTGTGTCACACATATTAGATAGAAAGCCAGCTGTTGCTGCAGAAGCACTCGGGACATTGCTTTCCCTTGATCTAGCATGTTGAGTACCAACAGCAGGAACACCGGGATGTGATTGAGAATTCCCACTCTCCGGTTTAGAGCAAAACTCTCCCATAGACGAACCAACTGCGAAGACTGCGTCGAACCTAGCGCCCTTTACTTATGAAGTAGCAAATACAAACAAGCACAACAGATCATAGCGTGTATTTCGAATAGTTTTGTGATATCACTTATTTTCATATCATGACACTCGCCGTTGTTTCACATGAGTAAATGCAAGAAAATTTGTCTCGGGATTTTCAGATCAGATAAAATGCACAGAATAAATACCACTAACTGAAAAACTGAAATAAGTTTCAGCAAAATTAGTCCCACATATGCACAAATCTATAATATGTTGACCAGCAAAGAGACGACTTCAGAACTGTCAGCTCCTTAAGTCTCTAGGAATATAGAAAATACAAATTTTACTACAAACTATCAGATCTCCAGTGTCTGTACTCATGTGTTTATGTGTGCAGGTGAGAAGATCCCTACTATATGTACCCTGTTTTTCAATCACTTTTTGCCCTAGAAACAATATCAACCCACCCATCCACTAATTTTTATACACTGCCTGCTTTCTGACTCGAGACAAGGTTGTAGCGGTAAATAAATCACCAAAGCAAATAGTTCTGTGCCTTCGACATTGACACTGACCTCATTAGTTTTACTGGACACAATCTAGCTGGAAACGCCTGGTCGCGCATACATGCCAGGTCGCGAGTGAGTACGCCAAGCTACTCATCCCTTGCAACTACAATCCAGCTTATATACAACTATTATCAACATATCAACAACCTTCCAAATATGTATTCAAGTTCATTCATCCAAAAATTTCAATTTGATGAGGTTGGTATCCCTCAGTTCGAAGGGCGTTACATACAAAGGCGTTGACAAACGCTGAATTTCTGTGGCATCTTGAAGGTCATCATGTATATTTACTTACATCTTTGCCCCTTTGCTTTTGCAGTATCTCCGAGATGAAATCAACTCATCTTATCTGGCCTCTTCAGTCAGTAATCGCTATCCTGATTGGCTGTTTTGATATTCACCTTTGGACTGGGTGAACTGACTTATCTCTTTCGAATAGAACATTGTTTTTTGCTTGGCATTAACGTCTTATAACAATTAGAAGTATTCGAATTATTGTATTAACTGGGATTTCTCGAAATAGTGCGATTCAATTCAAATGGAACTAGGAGAGTACAGATGAACTCACTAAATTTAGAATTCGGAATCAATCAAAAATCAAGTGCAAAACAATCATCAGTTCATGCAAATGTCGCATTTCTAGCTGGAATCTAAATTTCTGCATTCGATTATATGTCTTACGTTCACTGTATGTCTTTCAGAGTGTATACTGGATGTAGATTCTGTATGATCTAGAACATACTCATTAGTATTAGAATGAACAGACGAAATAGGAGCAGACTCACCTGGTTCCTGGAATTATATTTGATCAAAATGTCAGTTGTGCATATTTAAATCACAGATATCTAAATTTCGGACCAAAGATTTCCTGACTTTCTTCACCGCAATCCCTGTGGCTGGTCGAAGATCATTCACACGATAATATGCAAATTCAGCAGACCCTAAACATCTCATATCCGAAAGAAGAATCCTTCCTTTTAATAGCTTTGATGGAGTCTCTTCCGTTACAGAATGTTTAGTATTTCCATATTGCAGTAGAAATGTATGTACTCCCCTCTTCAGTTCATTAAATGTTGAAGCAACAATAGAATAAATAGCAGTACCCAATGTCCTAAGAAATTCTCTGCCTGACCACTAGAACAAAGGTGTCTCGGGGCATTGAACACATTTCTGCACCCCATGCAACCACGTAGTGACTGCATCCATAGCAAAATGAGAGCCATTATCAGTCACCAACAACATGGGAACCACTTCTGGACTAAACACCTTTCTTAATACTTCGATTGTAAAGTCAGAATTAAGTAAAATTGTGAAAAAAACTACAGGCCACTTCGAAAAATGACTACAAGAGCATAGTATTTGACAAGAAATGGACCACAATATTCTGCATAAATTTTCTTCAAGGCCTCAGATGATACTTCCATGAAGTCCGCTTCAAGAGCTGAATTTTAAATTTATGACATTTTCTACATATATCTGCATTTACTTCCTACCACCAACAGGTGAGCCTTACCAAGGATTTCATTTTCTCAACACCTAAATGTCCACTATGAAGATCTGTAGTGGCATTGGACCATAACCACACAATCCTCAAAGGTGAACACGAGACTACTCGGAAAATAGATATTCAACGTTTAACGCGGAGAAATACTTAACGATGGAAAATGCGGAAACAATGAGTTTTATTAATTCGAGTTGATCAGGTGGTATGGCTCGGCCATGCAGGCGTGGTCCCTGCGGAATTTTACCTTATATATTTTATTCATATTAAATATATTGTTCTTTCTTTAGCCTAAGCTTGTTCCCCATCATGTATTGGTAATTGTTACGATACAGTTGGTTGGTGTTGACGATGGTGTGACTTCCACGTAAGATCATATAGATTAGGTAGGTATATCATGACAAATTTACAGTTTTAGGATTAACTCTATTATTAGAGCAGTACTAATATAATAGTAGATTATAATTCCACAGATCTACAAGGAGAGATTTACGCAATGAAGACAGAATAACAACACGATCATTTGAACACCAAATATCATCACGAATAGTGGATAGCTCATCCCGCTTTGATAAGTAGACAGAAAATCTATTGCTTAGTTCGTCATTCCAACATTTCTGTATAGCACTGAGTATACATCCAAAGTATTAACGAGTTTCTCCAAATGTAGTGAGCAAGAACACCAGTGGGGACAATCGAATGTATTTGACTCACAATTACAGGACTTGTTAATAAAATCTAACAATCAAATAGTAAATACATAATTTGCAAAATGTCCATCAATTGTCTCATAATGACTCAGACTTCATTGTTCTTGTATTTTCATGCAAATTGCATTCTGTTTCGATTCTGTACTTTTCGATCCTCTTGCCTCTCTGCTGCCAGACCTTCTGTTTACGAGTGGCATCATAAACTACTTATGTCAGTATAAGTAGCACACACCACACTCGTCCCCTCTTTAAAAGCAGTCGTTCTTGCAGTGGTTCATGACCGCCGTGCCACATCCTTCTTTTCTGCAGTTGCGTTACGTCCTCAGTCAAAATGTTGAATCTGCGGCGCGCCGACATTCATAGTTCCGTCGACCTGCCGGGGCACCAACATCCGACATCCACCCGGCACCTGGGTCGTTTAACACTCGTGCTCCATCGGCCTCCCGAGCCATCTACATCTGATGTCCGTCTAGCAGCCGCACGTCTTACCGTCCCTCTCAGTCGGCAGTACCCGGTACAGCCAACACCGCCGCGCCAGAACACTCCACCAGACACCACCTCTCCGCACCAGACTGCTCCACTGACACTGTAAGATCAATTTTGAATTTTTTGTGTGTTGGTGAAAATCCCTCCATATATATACTTGTACTTTGTTTCTATTGATCCCCTTAGTTGTGCATTGTTGTCTTTTGATTACATTTGAATTGTTAATACTTGTATTTTTTATTATAGTTTTTGTTTTTCTTACGCATTCACTAAGTTTGTGTTTCTTCCCGAACTGCATCTGTGTTGTTTTACTGGACACTTGTTCTTGGTGGTAACCATATTGAATTGCTCCTCCTTTTGTGGGTGTTCTATCCAGTCAGGATAGAATAACGTTCATTTGTTGTGACTGGTAATTTTCCCTCATCTTCTATCAACTTCTTTATTTATTGTAATTTAGATTTGATTGGTCGAAAAATTATTGGTTGAATAGCCGGGTGATAATATTTGTTTAGATAACGATTTACATTTAAATTTATGATGAATTATAGAACCGCTATTTACCCGATTACTTGTTTTGATTTCGACGGGCAAGGGCGCGTGTCTAACGTACCTGGACGGTTATTCTTCAACATCAAAACCGTAGTTTGGATTCTACAGACACTTCAGCCCCAGACCCTCAACGGCGTCCTCAGAACAGCACTCTTTCCTTCTCCTGATTGGCAGCGACACCAAATGTAGTGAAGAAGAACTCATAAATACTTGGTAAAATAGAGAAACCATACTATAATACCCAATTTGAAAAATGTTGAATAATTGTCTTGAACTTAATTGTTCTTGCATTTTATATACTAATTGCTTTCTATTGCCGTTCTTCCTTTCTTCATCTTCCCAATCTTCTGCTGCCGGACATTACATCACTGACTCGCTTTATATACTACTTATGTCAATATAAGTAGCACGCATTACAGTCTCACTACTAAATGTTACACTAACAAACATTCTGAACTGTTAACAAACCTATCCTGAAATAACTGTAGAGATATGTAGTCAACATTTTGAACTTGTTGGACACTCCTGCGCTGAATCATATAGTCATCGGCACTCAGAGCTATACTATATCGTCGTATCATAACAGATGAGGAATGTGCTAAGGATTTTTCAGGATGATGAATGAACTTTAAAGTCTCATGATCAGTAAGAACAGTGAATTCCTTTCTGAATAAATATTTGTGAAGTCTTTTGACGGCCAAAAACGCAGCTAATACTTCTCTCTACGATTGTGAATAACCTTGTGCAGTAGCAGTAAGTTTGTGTGAAACGTAGGTTACTGGTATATCTCCCTGCTCAAAACCTCACCAATACCCGCAGGTGATGCATCAGTAATAAGCACAGAATGTGCACTAGAGACAGTAAGTCTGAAGAACAGCATCACTTTGAAGAAACTTTAGTAAACTTTGTAAGCATGACTCAAGTTCCTCACCCAATTTAAATGAATTGGATGTCAAAATACTAACTAAAAAATTGGCACGACAAGAAAAATTCGTAATTAAACCAGGAATATTATTAAAGAGAACTCATTAATGAACGCAGCTTCGTAAGATTTTTTGAAGATGGTACATTTGTCAGTGGATTTAGTCGCTACATATCTGGTTTAAGACCTTCGCCGTCAACTAAGTATCCAACATATCCAAAACTTGATACACAAAATAAACACTTATTTGGATTCACCACAATATTCTTCTCAATTATACAACGCAATAAAGCAATGAGTCTCCGGTCATGAACCACAATGTCAGAACCATAAATGATAACATAATCTTCGTAAACTCCAATACCTTCATCACTTCCTGAAATATGCCTGGAAGATAACTTATACCAAATAGGAGAAAGTTGAACAGGACAAACGGGGTGTTAATTACCGTCAAAATATAGGTGAAGTCGATATGAAGAGATGTAAAGATGAGCATTTTCAAGTCAACTTTCGAGAATAACTTACAACCATGTAGTCGATTAACAATATATTTGGCTTCCACCGTACCTTCAACAAACGGGAGTTCAGTGTTAATCTATTATTACCACATGTTCTCGGTGACTTCACATCAAAATTCAAGGGCATAACGATAAAATTACCACATGCAAAAGACTAGATCGGTTCAAGTATGCATTTTGCACACAAATCGCTCAATGTCTTATGTACTGCTTCTCAAAAACTATAAGACATCATTCGTCTTTTAAGAAAGACTGGATCACCTCGTACTTGAGGTTTTATAATTCGAATTCTCAAACCTCCACTGCATGTACAGCACACAGCTATCAAATCTTTAAGCAAAACATCAGAATCTTCTTTACAAACTAATGAAGACAACTCCAGTTTAAGCCTTCCAAATTTTGAAAGCCCAGTATTGACTGTCCTGCATCACTAACTAAACACTCATAGGGCATGTATGAAGAATCGTCATCTCTAATTAGCAATTCAGAACATTCTCGTACATGCAGTTTGTGTTCAGTAATCCCCAATGATGATACTTTGGTGAGTCGGCCTACAACACTCAAAATCCGAAGATTTCAGACTCCTGAGTGAAACAATAGGCTCATTACTACCTGTCTCAATAATAAGGGCATGAAATGAACCAAGGGATGTATGTAATCGCTTCTAAACATGGACATTATCTTTTGAAATCGCGGATAAGGCCAACTGATCATGAGAAATACACCGGTCAGTAGGATCTGAATTACAAAGTGTGGTATTACATGCGGCAGAATGAACGGTAGTCTTACAACTAGCTGGATGTGTCTAATTTCAGCATATTTAAAACATTTGTTATTAAGAAATACACACGAATTACGCAAATGAAATTTGCCATAGTACAAACATTCGCCAAACTTGTGCTCAACTTTGTGACCTGCTTTGAAATTCTTTGTTGAATCATTTTTCATATTTTCACGAGAATATTAACCATTAATGATCAAACGCAAGCTTGGGAGAACCTGAGGGTGTAGTTCATCACGAAGACTGAGAAGAGTATTGTAAACTTTCGGCTGGAAACCAACCACATTCACTGGCTCATAGTTTATTCATGCTGTTTCAATTTCTTAGAAAGAACTTTAGTGTTTACAAAATAATCTCCCCTTAAATTCAGATTATTTATCCCAATGATCAACCAATCATGAGATGGAATTTACAGATGGTCCCAAAAATTGCACTCCGCGGCCTCTTTTGTAGTTCAAGTATGAAGTTTAACTTTCTGATACTTCTATCACACCATTTTATGAGACTTCAATCTCTCTTCACACTCAAAGCTAGCACACTGCACATGACTTAGTAGTAACTCTTTGAAAGATTTGCATGACAATGAAACTGGTTTCTCTGGAAAAGCCATATTCTTTTGCAGATTATGAGCAAGTTTGCTGATTAAGGTCAGAATATAAGCTGTGGACTTATCATTATTAATATCTTTTCTAGTCATGCACCTGATTTTAAACCGCTCCATGTAGTTTTCGAGGTCGTTCTCAACTGAATTAATGTCCAACTGTCCAAGATTTGACTCCGTAGCGTCGCTAATATGATAATTAGAAGTATTCGAATTATTGTATTAACTGGGATTTCTCGAAATAGCACAATTTAATTCGAATGGGACTAGGTGGGCTTAAATGAACCTATAGAATAATGGTAGCTCACAAACGAACAGAACATAGTCGACGAAAATATGTAGCCATCGGGGTTGACGGTCACCGTGCCCGCCCGCAGCTTGGCACTGCTTCCGACTCCACACTCATTAGCCGAAAAACATAGAAGCATATTGAAAACCCCAGTCGCTCTCAACAACCCAGTTAGCTCTTAGTGCATCTGGAGAGAAGTTAAATATTTTTGGAGAGGTGTGTCGTGTGGTTTCAAAGGGAACTGCGAAGCCCAATGTGACGTTACGCCTTGCAGAGAGCCTGTGACTAGATTTGCTGGGTCTAGACCTAATAGAAACATGGCAGTCAGCAAACCACTCCATTAATCATATATGCCGTTGCTTGAGGACCAACAAACAAGCGGAGAAGAATTTTAGGAACGTTGCTCCGGAGAACCATAGTCACGTGTTCACGGAAGAACTGAGGATACATAAAGTAAAAGTAACACCACTTCTTAAACCCGGTGCCACTTCTTTTTCAGACCAAAATCCCATTATCTTATGCAGAGCTACCTATTTTGAACAAGAATGAGAGCGCCTGCAAAGAAGTGGATTTTTCGTGCCTTAAGGTAACCCTCGTGCTATTGATAGAAGAAACCAGACAAGTAGTGAATAGGTCTTTATTTCGATCTTCGCGCAGTCACAGTGGAGCGTGGGGTTATTTAATCAGACAAACAAAGCCTCTCAACATTCAATATAAGATAATAGGAAATATAACGCTTATACAAAATAAGGAAGTGAATAAATATGTGAACTATATTGTTTTGGCATATGCTTGGTTGTTTGAGGTGAACTGTTAACCAACCAACCTAAGCTGTTACAGAATCATAGAACTGGTCAGTGTTTCTGATTGGGCAGCATCAAAGTGATTGCTAAGTAACGCAATGAAAGTATCTGGCTATATGCAGACTATTATACTGGATTAAACAAAGCCCATCACTACCTTCTGTCGTTACCAGAAGACTTATTTGTGAAACTGAATGAGGGGATGTAATTTGCGAAATTGGATTTATTAGAAGCTTATCTACAGATTCCAGTAGCCGTAGAGTACAAGCATTACCTGACCATAGTCATCTGCAGAGTTCAAATCATCTAGTTGCATCCAGTCTGTTCATTGTATTCCGTAATTCAGTCAACCACTAGAAGAGAGAAATAGTGAGAGTGAGCACTTCTGTCTGACTCCGGTACTCATTTGGAATGCATCTATAAACTGCCCTCAATGCACGACTTTGCAGTTTAGTCCGTCGTATGAATTGCGGATGATGTTGGCGATCTTCTCAGCTACTCACAACACTGTTGAAGAAAGTTCCATAAGGTTCTATCCATTTTGTCAAAAGCTTTCTCATAGTCACGGAAGTTGATCTATCGTCTAGTGGCCCTATGTTTGACTTCAGTTAAATCGTTTGTTGACCGTTATCGAAATATATATGCTGTCAACCCTCGCATCTAATTATTGACTTAATCCACGTTAGTGAATAACGGAGTTTAGATAACTCGAATACGAGAATAGACTTGGGATACGTATATTTCATTTTGTCGTTACTCTGAATGGACAGTCAAGAAAACGCAGAGAAGGAAGCAAACAGGATTAGAGCGAAACGAAATCAAATGAGGCGGAGTGGAGAAGGCAAGTGAGTCAACTAAATTTAATCAGGCGTTACTCAATATTTATGGCCAGACTAAAAAGTAAATTACAGAAACATAATGAACAAGTTACGCAATCAACAGCGTCAGAATGTGGTTTGAGAAGAACGAATAAATTAGTAAGTTAAGAATAAACTTCCTGTACGTTCTTACCACCACTGATAATTGTCCAACGAATAATCAGATCCAAATTAAATTAGGTAGATAAATTGATGATGGATATGATACGACTATCAGTTTTAACGAACAAACATTTCTATTGATACAGGGATACTATTCAACACTTTCTGGACAGATCACGTAGTGTTGGAAAGGTAATATTTAGCTAATTTAAACTATGGACAACAAATTTAGCAAGAATCACTCATCGCAATAGTGTTCTTTTTAACTTACGAGAGTGTGATTTTTTACTGCTTTTCTGGAACGAAGATTTGGGTTGTTTGTAAGGCTGTTATACATTGTACAATTGACGATGGACTTGAGTTTTGAATTTGCGCGGGCATGTCATACCATGTTTTTGTTCTTGGTTATTTTCTATCTTTGTTTGAAGTTGGCTCATACTATTCAGTCTAGCTTGGATCTATCGTGTGAAAATCTTTTACCGGGACAGTACATCTGTGACTCCCCTCTCATAGACGAGCTTACCCAGCAGCCAAGGAATTGCTCTCTCTTTTTGAAAGCTCCAGGTACTTTAAAAATTTCATACCCTACTCTGTGTAAGTTAACTGCAAACCGGCTCCAGGAATCCATTGTAGTGGGAAGCTTTACAGTGGTACAGAGATTGGTTTTCAAAAGCTAATAGATTGCCGTCGAGTGTAGTTTGACCATAATTTGCAATGTTAACTATATTTCTGTATAGGACTGGATATAAGTTTGATCTGGCATTATTGCTTTCAGTATTTGGTGGACTGTTTGGCTTAGACCGATTTTATCTTGGGTACCCAGCTCTGGGTTAGTTAGCTTATTAAATATATTCTTGCACAGGTTGCTTGAAATTTTTCACATTCGGTGGCTTCGGTCTCTGGTATCTCATCGATATACTACTAATTTCGGTTGAAGTGAGTATGAATATTTCACCATTTATTTAGGGTAATAGTTTCAAGTCAGTATTGAACATGGTTACTGTTGTTTGTCTTTGTCTAATTTGGAACGCTAAACTGTTGTATGTTGTACTCAATGAAATATGATTCGAGTTGAAATCCTGAGTATTCTTGCACATATCTGGCAAAATAACTTTAAAAATGTAATGCGACAAAATGATTTAAATATCCAAGGAGTTTCGTCCCATACCCAATATACATTTGAAACTGAAACCTTCCGAGATTGGTTGTTCATATCATGTAACCCAATATGTGGATAGGTGATTATAAGCAGGCTTCCAGATTCTTAGGGAAAGGGTCGAGATTTTATGGTAGTGACCAAAAACACCCGTTGAAGGGCTCATGAAAAATCATTCGAATGAATGTAATTTGTTGATGTTCTCAAAAGATTAAACTGTTTTGCTTACCCTTATTTCATGTGCTGATACGGGGTGATTTTAGTTTACTTTATCTCCTTGGATTAATCTCTTACTCAAATAGTTTTAGGTAAAGACAAAAAGATGTAAGGTTTTTGGACGTCTTCAACAAAATTCTAAGAATGGTTATCTATTTCGCGCCTTCCAAAAGTAAATGCTCAGCTAGTCTATACCGACAACTAAGATTAGAGAAGCAACTGAATGAGTTTATCAAGAGTAGGAAATCAGGTAGGTGTACAGACCACCTATTTGCAGAGTCACCTCACCTTTCGTTCCCGACAAGATCATAGCACAGGTACAATAATTCGATTCAACAATTGTTCTCATAGTATCAACTCGATATTTGCCTGAGTATATTGCATCAGTGTTTGGTAAGCTGTATAATTTGTAGGTTCTCAGTCATATGCTCCATCACACCACCGCTGAAGTTTAAGTCACCGTGTTAGCAGTGTTAAACAGACTTCGATTGCAGATAGGAAGAACGTATTGGTCGAAAATTTGCTAGATCCCCACTGGCTGACGTGGGTTGGCTATTTGACAGTCATACAAACTCACTGGGTCTATAAACCAAACTTGTTAAAGTAGAATTAGAGAAAATAAAACCTAGATATCCCGACCGTTGTTGCTACCTTGACGTGGTGGTCGGGCTTGCCTATCGTGATGAAGCAACCGAGCTATACTGGCTGGAACAACCGTTCCTCAAGGTCCTACCATGTCAGACAGGTCGGTTAAAGAGCGGTAAGACTAAAAGCAACAAACCCAAGGTCCGAAGGCGAAGTCGTACTGCTGACTGTATAGAGGTGTGACAGCAGTAAGGTGTTTCCTTCAGACAACCAGCATGACAGCGATGCTGCCTTCCCACAAGGAGGGGTGGGGTTAGAAAAGGTCGACCCTAAAAATGCACACCTCACCTCACCTCACGGATTTCCGTCTCCGGCGGTAAGGCCCTTTGAAGAACGGAGCTAACACGTCGAAAACCTTCCACGAAAAGGCCGTGCGCGACCGGCCACAAGCAGTTGTCCCTTGGGCATTGCGGTCACGCTCTCAGGTCACTGAGACCGCCTCTAATCCAATTTCCTTTTCAGGTACCTCCAGAAGAACCCTTCCTCGGTGTGGGCAACCGGGGAGTGATAACCGCCTTCATACCTCTAACAGCACCCAAGACCACTGTATTCATAATCAACCTTCCTCTTCAATTCCTATTATTCCTCCTACATCGACTTTCAACCCTAAACTTCCTCCTTTGGCTTCCTCCTCAAGTGTCACCATAGCCAACGATTCTAGTGCTCAAAACTCTGTCCCAGGTCTACTGAAACCTCGCTCCAAACTACACATTGGAGCTTTCAACGTACGCACTCTATGTCAAATCGGTCAGCAGGCTTCCTTGGCTAAAACCCTAGAGTCTCTTTCCATTGATGTATGCTGTGTCTCTGAAACACGCATACAGGATCCCAGTGTGGTCATTCACTTGACCTCACCTCGGCAGAACGGAGAGCCAACGAGATACACCCTTCGTGTATCTGGTGACCGGACGGCCAGTTCTCGTGGACTGGCAGGTGTAGGCATAGCACTAAGCATGAGGGCCGAACAAGCACTGCTATAGTGGATCCCTGTCAACAGTCGTCTATGTGCTGTTCGGCTGAACGGCTACGTAAGAACTCGGAAGGATAGGGACACACGTCGTTGCCTTTTTGTCGTTTCTGTCTACGCTCCCACTGACTGCAGCTCAGATGAAGTGAAAGATGAATTTTACAGAAAGCTTTCTGAACTTCTTCAGAAAGCTAAACGCTCAGACATAGTACTCGTAGCAGGTGATTTTAATGCTCAGATAGGTAGCTTAAACCAAACAGAAAGGCATTTAGGTGGATATTTTAGTATTCCGACACAGCGAACAGATAATGGTGATCGTCTGCTGCAGCTATGCTCAGACAATCGTTTATTTTTAGCAAACACAAATTTTAGGCATAAGGAGAGACATCGTCTAACATGGCGACCCCCTACACCAAACCAACGATGGACTCAAATAGACCATATTGCCGTCAGTCATCGTTGGAGAGGGTCGGTAGAAGATTGTCGCTCATTCTGGAGTACCTTCTTGGACTCCGACCATGCCCTAATACGGGCACGAATCTGCTTGCGCCTCACTGGACGCAAAAAAGCCACATTAAAAAGACCCGTTAGAACTGAGTTGAGTAACGAGAAAACCGAAATTAGGTTCCAGGAACAACTGAGGTCACACTTAGGTAGTTCTGAAAACGAGGCTGACCCAGATGTTGCTTGGAAGGGCATAAAATCAGCTGTGGAAACAGCAGTGACATCTATTAGTGACTTAAACCACAGAGTTGCAAGGAACCAGTGGATTTCTTCAAGGTCTGTCACACTGATGGATTCTCGCAAACTCGTCCCATCAGGTTCTGAACATGATGAAGAGCGACAACAAATCAGATCTAGGTTTAGAAAAAGTCTAAGGAACGACCGTGAGCAGTGGTGGGTAACGAAAGCAAAAGAGATGGAAAAGGCGGCGACTATAGGGAACACAAGATAGCTTTACAGACTAATAAAAGAAACTGGAATTAATAAGTCAAGTGTAAGTGAGATTATTTCGGAAAAAGATGATACTCTCATCTGCTCCCAGTCCAGACGTTTAGAACGATGGGCGGAACATTTCAGAGAACAGTTCAGCTGGCCTTCAGCTACTCTACAACTACCCTCCATTCCCAGACAATGTGAATGGAACATTGAAGTAGGTCCCCCAACTCTCGCTGAAGTTCAAAAGACTATAGTTAATCTGAAACGAGGAAGGGCAGCTGGTCCAGATGAATTGGCTCCAGAGGTCTTTAAGGATGGTGGTCCAATTTTAGCGATTAGGTTGACTAATATTTTAGCTAAGACCTGGGAGTTAGACTTTATCCCATCTGACTGGTCGCAATCACTTATCGTCCCAATATATAAGAAAGGGTCAAAATCATCCTGTGACAACCACAGAGGGATTAGTTTAACAAACATAGTATCTAAAATACTGGCCTCGATAATTATCAGACGCCTAACTAAGACTCGTGAACTACAAACTCGAGAGAACCAAGCTGGCTTTAGACCTGGTCGTGGCTGCATCGACCACATATTCACCATTCGTCAGGTTCTAGAACACAGGCATACCTATCGGCGTCCGACGATGGTGGTCTTTCTTGACTTAAAAGCAGCGTTTGACTCTGTAGACCGCGAGACTCTGTGGCAGTGTCTGTCATTGAAAGGCGTACCTCAGAAGTACATAAACCTTGTGAAGGCTCTTTACTCGAACACTACTAGTCGAGTCAGAGCTTATGGCGAACTGTCATCTACTTTTGCAACTTCAAGTGGTGTCCGTCAAGGCTGTCCACTTTCTCCATTTTTGTTTAACTTCATCATAGACCTATTGATGGAAATAACATTCTCGTCGACTGAATTCTCGGGTATTGATCTCCTTCCAGGAGATCCACTTATCGACTTAGAATACGCAGATGATATAGTCCTGTTTGGTGAAGACGCCGATAAAATGCAGAGTCTTTTGGTAGCACCAAGCAACAATGCCAGAATGTTTGGGATGCGCTTCTCTCCCTCTAAATGCAAGTTGTTGCTTCAGGACTGGTCGGCGTCAACACCTGAACTAAGGATAGGGGGTGAAGTAGTCGAACGCGTCGACAACTTCACTTATCTTGGAAGTCTGATCAGCCCTAATGGGTTGGTGTCTGACGAAATCTCAGCACGGATTCGAAAAGCTCGTTTGGCTTTTGCCAACTTACGTCACCTTTGGCGGAGGCGAGATATCCGTCTATCAATAAAAGGACGAGTATACTGCGCGGCAGTCCGTTCTGTCTTACTTTACGGCAGCGAAACATGGCCTTTAAGAGTAGAAGACACCCGTAAGCTACAAGTATTTGACCACAGATGCCTTAAAAATATTGCTGGCATCTGCTGGGATCACCGGGTAAGTAATAGTGAGGTTAGACGCAGGCTATTAGGGAATGATGGTAAATCAGTTGATGAGGTTATGAATCTTCATCGACTGAGATGGTTGGGCCACGTATTACGTATGCCTGAACACCGATTACCACGACGTGCAATGCTAACCGGTGTAGGGGATGGTTGGAAGAAAGTTAGGGGCGGCCAGACCAAAACGTGGCATCAGTGCTTGAAGTCACTAACTTCTAGTCTGAGCCATGTTGGTAGATTCAGACTACTTGGTTGGGGTTCGCGTGACTTTCGTAACCAATGGTTGAAGACTTGGTGAGATGGCTCAGAATCGATCACAATGGCGTCGGTGTATACACTTTCTATCTTCCCTTAAACTAAGGGATTAAAATAGCTTCATATCTTTCTTTCTACTAACTAATTCTTCCTTCCTATACTATATCCTTATTGCAACCTTTGACCTAACCACTCCTATGAATCCGGTGTTCATCTTGTTGTGCTAATGAGGTATGGCAACCTGGACCGATGCACATATGTGCCTGGTCCTACGTTGTAGCTGACTGACTGACATTCCCTAGACGCAGGGTATGAGGGAATGATGGTAAATCAGTTGATGAGGTTATGAATCTTCATCGACTGAGATGGTTAGGCCACGTATTACGTATGCCTGAACACCGATTACCACGACGTGCAATGCTAACCGGTGTAGGGGATGGTTGGAAGAAAGTTAGGGGCGGCCAGACCAAAACGTGGCATCAGTGCTTGAAGTCACTAACTTCTAGTCTGAGCCATGTTGGTAGATGCAGACTACTTGGTTGGGGTCCGCGTGACTATCGTAACCAATGGTTGAAGACTTGGTGAGATGGCTCAGAATCGATCACAATGGCGTCGGTGTATACACTTTCTATCTTCCCTTAAACCAAGGGATTAAAATAGCTTCATCTTTCTTTCTACGGACTAATTCTTTCTTCCTGTACTATATCCTTATTGGAATCTTTCTTTCATATATTACCACCTTTGAATTAACAACTTTTATGAATCCGGTGTCCATCTTGTTGTGTTAATGAGGTATGGCAACTTGGACCGATGCATAAATGTGCCTGGTCCTACGTTGTAGCTGACTGACTGACAAGAAGTCATCACTCCGATATTGACATCCTAGGTAGTGGTACGATAAATCCGTACAGCTCGTGCT